CCCCCCCCCCCTTCAATGGGTCTCACCAACTGCTTAGCAACTTTTTAAACTTTTCGTATTGTACTTTGCAGGAAAAAAGAGAAGAAAAAAAAATACATGTCCTGATGACTTTCTGTTTTTTTATATATTTTTTTTGGCGCATTTTCAATTTGAGCATAAAAGTCTTTTTTTCTTTTCTTTCCCTTTTCTTTATCTCTCTTTTTTATTTCTCTTTGTTCTTCTTCTTCTCTTGTATTATCTTAAACACTCAATATGAACTCTCAGTCACCTTATCCTAAAGCAGGTAAACTAAATAGAAAAAAGAGTCATCCCCGTTTTTTTTTTTGACAATAGATCAAATTAGATGATATCGGAATAGCCGTACGCGGCGTACAGCCATCTTATGCGAGAGAACTCGATATCAGCAAAGATATCCCGCACGTAAGACTTGTAGAGTAATTTATCGACAAAAGTATCTTATTTGCATAATAGGGATTTTATGAAACAATGATGACTTGTATAGGAAACACAATAGGATTTTTTGGAGCAGTAAGTCAACCGATCTTTTCTCCAGCTTATGTTGATCTTAAACTTTATTGTTACATGTGTAGTTTCCTTGTGTCTGTTGTTGTCCTAATCCATATGAAGAAGTTCGACAAGGTTTATTGGTCTTAATCATAACTACTTTTTTACAGTTCTAACATTCATCTTGTACACTACAGGCAACGTTGGACTTGTTCAAAAGTTTGGTAAATTTTACAAGTGTGTTGATCCTGGACTAGTGAAAGTGCGTTATAATGGCTCAGTATGCGATTTTACTCTAACTTGTATTTTGGGTAGGTCAACCCAGTGACAGAAGAGATTAAAAGAATCGATATCACCATTCAAGTCACAGAGATTCCCAAACAAGACGTGATCACTAAAGTAGGATTTAGACAGTTGATATGCTTCATTGTGAAATTTATGTAGTCATATAGGATAATGTCAGTATTTCAATTGAATCAGTCTTGTATTGGCACATTGTAGATCCGTATCAGGCAGTTTATGGAGTGGAAAATGTGAGTTATGCGTTGGTAGAAAGGTAATGATTATAATAAAGAAAACGATAAAGACAGACAAAGCTTATGATATTGTCAAAAGAGCGAGCACTTCCTTACGAGACGTATGTGGTGGCCATTCCGTGCAGGACTTGATTGAAAACCGAAACGCCATTTCACATGAATTACATAAAATCATTGGACCTATTGCCAAATCTTGGGGTGTGAAGGTAAGCACAGTTTGTGAAAAGAAATTTTGCCTAAACGCCGTCATTAGATTGAATCAACGTTGATCAAGGACATCATATTATCCAAGAGTCTTCAGGAATCCCTTTCATCCGCAGCTCAGGCAAAGAGACTGGGTGAATCTCGCGTGATTTCTTCAAAAGCTGACGTAGAAGCAGCTAAGCTTATGCGTGATGCCGCAGATATTCTTAATACGCCTGCTGCTATACAAATTCGTTATCTGGAAACATTACAAGCTATCAGTCGAAATAGTAGTGGTCCTAAAACGTTATTTGTGCCTCTTCCTCCTGCAACAAATGAGGGGCCATAACATATACGCATTATACAATAGTAAACATATAATAAACTAAGTGTTATATATAAATACCTATTAGCTAGCGTTAAGATGTATAGATGTATTATTTCAGCTGTAAAATATGAGTCTAAACGAATACATATGAGGATTTTTTTTAGCAATTAGAGCACAGTTACCTGGCTATTTACACAAAAGAATATAAACTTTGATATACCCGTATAAAACTGATAATAGTCATGGATTTCGTTGTTTTTATCTCTACCACGTCTTTCCATTTTACCGTTATTCTCTATGTGATGCATAGTTAACAGGGAGATAAATAGAGTCAAGAGGAACTATATGAGTTAATGGTGTACCATGATCTACGTTTTATGCGAGCTTTTTTTTTCTGTTCAACACTATTATTTACACTTGCGCGGCAAGCCATTTTTTACAGTGTGTATATGTACAGTAATATCCTATTCTATTCACGAGGGGTAAGTAGCTATATATTAGAGTGAATAATTGCAGATATAAAGTATATAAAAAGGCCAAACTGTCATACCATTATTAATATAAGTTAGTATAAAAATTAGTACACAAAATATGCTAAACATCAAGTGCAGTTAACCTCAATCGGTGTTTAACACTCATTTTATTTTATAATTCAATTTATTGCAACATCAAGGGTCAATGTTAAAAAGAACAAGGAAGGTGGTACAAGCAGTAGTTTATTTAACAATAAGTTATTACAATAAAGTCTCCACTGAATTTGAATAGATCAACACGAATAAGCTTATACTCAGCGATCTGCAGCTGGTAAAACGATGTCTATTATGTGTAACTGAGGTGCTGTTGCTGATAATAAGTACTAAAATAACTACAAAGAAACTTCAAAGGAATATAGTCAAGAGCGTAGCCTTAAAACTGAATTGATTAAACTGATCATTTTACTAATACCAATTGTCTACACTGGAGAATATAAAAGGGGGATTTGTATGAGGAACATGGTACATATGGCATGAAAAAGAAAGTTTAGCATACGCGTAAATATAGAAAAATAAGATTATCTTTTTTTCCTTTCTGGTCTTTAGTAAACTGAGATAATCTGTTTTTATTAAATACATGCGGACACAGAAACTCATGTTCATCCTCCGTTTTTCGGTGCAATACAAGATGAAGGAGGGGAATAATGTACCACGCTCGAGTGTATCTACTAAAAAGGAAAGTAACTAGTTTGTTTCCAAAGAAGTGTCATTTGCTTTATTTGGGAAAGAACAAGGTTTGTTCAACAATGCGAATAAGAATTATAACAAATAGTTCTGTACGCCACAGACACACAGTAGTACAAGATGAGAGTAACTCGGAATGGTACGGCTATTTACCTTTTTGGAACATATGTTCGTCATCTATCTGTTCACTGACATCATAGTGCATCTAGGTTTAAAACTGGATTATCACAAAAAGAAATAAGGTGTAATCCGTGTTATTATATAAGCATAAATGTATCAAGGGATGTATTTAAGGTTCTTTTTTTACAAGATGTTCCTTCATCTTGTGGTGTAACTCTGTTACTTAGTTACACGTATGAACAAACTAAGACGTTATTCTGACAACATGATTGGTAATCACAATAGAAAAATCCTAAAAAACTCTGCGTAACCATGTTTACGCCATGTTGAAGACAATTTAGTCATCATCCGACAATTCCGCGTTCCCGTTAAGTATGCTTTTTTTTTATTGATATTATATACAAGGAAAGATGGGGATATATACTGGCAGTATAATAAAAAGTAAAATAAATAATATAAGAGCATATATGTATAAACATATATATATGGAGTCATAGTCTACTGTCAATGATATCTTTTGCTGCTTGTCACGTAGAATTCATAAGTATTTGTGTGGTAAGGAGCGTGTTTTGGGATCATAAATCATAAATAATCGATAAAGAATGATTTTATAAGCTGTGATATAAATAAGTGTCTTCAAGGATAGGATAGTAAACACATGGTGGGTAATATTGATAATCATAGTAAAGTTGATTGTCAGGAAGAGATAGTAGATCGCAAAAATCATTGTTTACAAGATTAAGTTGTATAGGATCCAAGCACGGGGTAACGTCCGAAATACTTGATTCGACAGATGAGCAAGGGGAAGATATATAGGTGGGTATGCAGGACTCTTCAATCTCCTTAAGGGTAGTGATTCTCTTTTCCAATTTAGCAATTTTGCGCTCGAGGTGACTGACTTGTAAGGTTAAATCGTCATAGGCTGTCAACAGTTCCTTTTCCATCTCGCAGAGGCGTGTGGCTGATTTAGTTTTTTCCAATTGTGGCTCACTGCATTTGTAGGCATGAAGGAGACTTTGGAAGTTGACAGTAATTGTTGCCACAGCGTCGTACGTAAACTCCAACTCGTTTTGGAGGCGTTCAATTTCCTTTTGTGGGCATTTGATAGTAACTGGCTCTTTATTGGCTGCTTGATTCGTGGTAATTTTACGTGTCTTTGATGGTTTTTGTTTTTGAATGCGATTAGGGTTACTAATCTTGTGGACGCGTTGGGTTGTCCATCTGAGAGGCTTTGTTGAAGGATTCATTGAGGATAAGTAATAAAAAAAGTAGTAATGCGTGAATGATGAGAGAGAAAGAGGGGAAGTAAATGTAACCCTTTGTATTTATACATTTTTCATTTTTTATTTTTAATATTGGATATCGATCATCACCTCCCAAATATAGGTTGCATTCTTGAACTTTTATTGGCTCCTCGTATGCAACACACAAATGGGTGCACATTGCTACTTCTTCACGTCAAAAAGTAAAATAAAGGACCGAAAAAAGTTTTAAATAGAACTTATGTGTCTCCTATTGAAATCCGACATAGTATCTTGCTAAACAAAACAGGACATCACCTCTCACCAGCCACTTTACATAAACAAAAACGCAAAAATAACTCGCTGTCAAAACAAAGCTTACTGCCAAGAATAAGGTTTAAACTCTCTGTGTTACTCACTTTTTCTCCTTTTCCTCCTTTCGGTCCCTTTTGGGCGAACTAAAAAAAGACAGCCTCTCTATGTGGCAATCTATTTTTAACTTTGTTACTCCTTGGCATTCATTTTAAGCACAAACCCTGAAATTCATTGTGTATTAAACAAAAAAAAAAAAAAGAAAAAGAGGCGTTTTTTTATGTTGCTTATTGGATACGTGCCACTTTACTTCATTATTTGCTCAGGAACCGAAAATATAAAAAGGCCCAATTTCCTGGGATTTCTTAATTTCTTTTCTTTTTCTTTTTTTCCTTTTCGCTTTTTTTCCTTTTTTCTCTTTTTGCCCATTTCCTAGTTGAAAAGTAATTTCTCTTGTTTTTTTGTGTAAAAAGTAGAGAATACATAAAGGGATTAAGCCGTGAACGGATATGAATACTTTTTTGTCATTTTACTTTTTTTTTTCCATCCCTATGATGCCATTCTTTTTTTAATTTCCAACGCTAGTCTCTGCATTTTTCTCTCCTACTGTCATAGTCTGTCTTTGCCCTCATCTCCCTGCCTATTACTCCCTATGGCAATATCTAAAAATAAATATCAAGTAACATCGATGACCACATAGTTTATTTTTAGTTATGCACAATTTTATTTATACAAAGTTTAAGCATCAAGCATTTTATGGAAGACGGGAATCAATTGTTGAGCAATAGTGAAACTAAAAATTAATTTGGGACCAACCTACAAAAGACATATTTAGCATCCATTATATATATTCCCCCTTATTCTACTTACCACCAAGATCTTGGGTGTTAAGCCCTTGAAGAAACCGGCAAATCCTTCATTCTTGATAAGATCCTTGACAATCTTGACACCAGATTCAGGGTTATCAAAGTTACGGTTTTGAATACGTGTCTTGACGACGTCTAAGGGAGCGGCCACTGTGATGGAAGCAACAGCACCACCAATAGAAGAACAGAAGTTTTGGAAGAAGGTGGCAGAGTTATAATCCTTCAAGCCAAAGACATATTCCTTGACAAAGGCAGAGCCACCAAAAAGAGCAAAGGAACCAGGGGCATTACGAGCAGCTGTCCAGCCAGCACCACGATAAAGACCCATACCTTCATCCTTAACAATACGTAAGAAACCACGTCCACGGAAAGCTTCAGGGTTGGTTTGTCTCTTGATTTTGAGCACATCCAAGGGTAACAAAGCAATCTCACCAATACCTACAAGACTACCTGCTGTAGCGTGCATGATTGTCTTTCCTGTCTTTTCACCAAATGCACCAACAAATAAATCCTTGTGATGATTGTTCAAGTAATCCTTTACAAAAGGTTGTCCACCAAACTTGTATACTCTTTGAGCAACCTTGTATCCAGCTGCGAATCCAAGACCTGGGAAAAGAGAGGCATATTTCTTGGCAAATCCCGCAGAGGCTGCTTCCTGCAATTACATGAGCAATGGGCCAGGGTTGTATTCCAACTGTTTTCTTACCTTGAAAACAACTTTATCGACAAAAGCTTTATTCTCTGCAAACGTACGATGAGATTCCCAAAGCTATAGTCTACAGTTAGTATATTTGTTGCATAGTTTGATTTTTGTTGCTTGCCTTATTTTGGTTACTCATCAAACGCTTTGCCACTGTATCAACAGGGTGGAAAATGATTAATTCAAGGATACCAGAACTGGCGCTACCAAGGAAACGAGCTGTACCAGATTCGGAGTGACTACTGCTGATAGGAGGTGACATGGGCCTTTGTAAAGAAAAAAGAGAGAGAAAGAGAAAGAGAAATAAAAGGTCTGTCCCTGGCATATCAAGTCAAAAAATCTTTTTTGTCGGACATTCAAAATTAACTGATTCATTTTGACACCTCTTTAGGTTACATCTGATCATTACAAACCAGGGAAAGGCAGAGAGACTCGTAGTTTATTTATCTTACCAGTGTTTACACATCATGATTAATAAAGATGATTGAAAAGAAGATGTAAAGCATACAATAACGGATCATCTTTTGAAGGCTAGGAACATTATGACTCACTGTTATCAGAATCACATGACTATAGATAAGCCATCTTTTTATGCTTGGGAAATACAATGTATTTATTTACAATTTGCTTTCAGGAACAATCATTTTGTTCAAACGCTCCTTAATAACAGCTTCGGCATCACGAACAATTCTAGAGACCAACACGTCACAGGTAGGAATATCGTCAATCAAACCAACGACTTGACCTGCTGTCCAGACACCAAATTCAGGGTCACCAGTTGTATAGACTTGTCTACCACGAGCACCTGCAACAAGCTCACGAACGTCTTCAAATTTTACATTGGGATTTCTTTCACGACTGTTGACTTCGACAGCAATAGAGTTTTTAAAGATACGTGATGTGTTACGGAAAGGACGGAAGACAAGGGTGGTAGATCGTTCGTCTGCCTTGACGATGGCTTCTTTAATATTGTTATGAATGGGTGATTCAGCAGTACACATGAATCGAGTGCCCATGTTAATGCCTTCAGCACCCAATGCTAATGCGGCAGCTAAACCACGACCATCACCGAAACCGCCGGATGCGATATAGGGGATATTTAAGGTCTTTGCAGATTTAGCAAGCAAGATAAGAGCTGTAATATCGTCTTCACCAGGATGACCAGCGCATTCAAATCCATCTATGGAAATGATATCAACGCCTAGACGTTGAGCTGACAAAGCGTGACGAATAGAAGTACATTTGTGAAGGACGACGATACCGGCGTCCTTGAACATTTTGATGTATTTACCAGCTAATTTAGTGCAATATATTAATATGATGAATTAAAAAGAAAAAGGATTCATGCTTACGGTTATTGCCGGCAGTTTCAACGACCTTAATACCCTCTTCAATAATGGCCTTGGTATATTCTTCATAAGGAGGAGGCACGATAGCAGGTAAAAAGGTCAAGTTGACACCAAAAGGGTTCTTGGTCATTGTTCTACAACGACGAATTTCAGCACGTAACGCGTCTGGTGTAGGTTGAGTCAAAGCTGTAAGAATACCCAAGGCGCCGGCATTAGAGACAGCAGATGCCATTTCGGCTGTACCGACATATTGCATACCACCTTGTAAAATAAGACTGAGTACAGGTTATTGTAAGTAAGTTGTTTGCTTACCTTGAACAATAGGATGTTTGATACCCGTTAATTCAGTAAGCTTTGTCTTGAATACCATAGTTTATGTTTAAGAAAAAGGAGAGAAAGAGAGAGAGGAAAAGGCGTGAAGGAATTAGTTATAGGTATTTTTTTGTGGGGAAATTAGTATAAAGGAGATGACTAAAAGATTTGATTGGGCAACATGTGAAAAACAGTCAGGGTGTAATTCTATTGGATGGGCCATTCAAGCATAATAATCAGTTTTTAACTGAATTTAACTTATTGAATTACTTTTGACTTTGACAAGGAACTTTACAAATTTAAAAATACGATCATGCTTTTTATTTTGAATTTATCGAGTCTTTTCGTGGGAAGAAACATTTATTTTATGTATTTGTAATAGTGAATATCTGCAATCTGACCAAAAGGAGTAGGTCATAAAGTTCAATTTACTACCATGACTTTAGCTCTCCATAATATCTTGCTTTAATATACATTTCTTTTCTTTTTTACTTTTATGTTGTCAACTTATTTGGCTTTTATAATGTAAAGCTGTATACAATTGTAGAGTTGTTCGATGAGAAGGATGAATTAAATTAAACGTTCAGGAAGCACATCTTATAAGCCAAATGTTTCTCATTTACCATACAAAAACAGTTCATTTCGTTTGGTAGTCGCTTTGCATATCAATCATTACCAGTTCTACTTTTGAAATTATTACATATACTGGATATCTTTGAATAAGCTGTAAATGTAGTAGGGTGAAAAAAAGGAAGTGTTTACACTCTATTCAGAAATGATTCGCACATTGATAATTTCGGAAAACAAATAATAATAAAAGAACCCACAAGAAGCAAAAGAATGAGATACAAAAGAAAATGTCAGTATTGCAGTTACGTGTTGTTTATAAGTGTTGACCACATATGCAAGTCTGTTCTTTTCTATCAAAAATATCAAACTCAATTTACATAGTAAATGCTGTCAAGTTGGATGAAAAGATTGATAACCAACCAAAGTGTTATTGAGCTTATATTGTATGCCAATTGTTTTTCAAATCCATTGGCGGATACTGTAATTTGGCGGTCAAATGCACATAAAATGAGCAGATTTCAAAATTGAAACACAGATTTCCCTTTCAAGCATGAAAAAAGAGACAAAGCTGGGGGAACCTTTCTTTTTTTTCTTTTTAACCAAAATATGGCTATACACAGAGAAGGAATAACAACCGAAACCCATGATTGGACCATGATCAAGGCCTCGTCTTTGATAAAGGATCAAAAAGTGATTACAATGTAAGACCATATTAAGGTTTATGCAGAAAAGAGAATCATTGAAACATGTTTATAGCGATGGCTCTTTACCAGTAGAAGAAGCTTGTAATTTGCTTATCGAAAACAATATCACGTCAGCTCCTGTTTATGAATCTAACGTGAAGGAAGTAAACGAGACAACTATTGTTCATCCAAGATCATATGTTGGTATGTTTGATTATGGCGATGTTATCGCTTATATCTTGCTCGTATTACAAAATATGCCACCACCAGGTGATGACGAAGCACAAGAAAGCATGAATTTCGAAATAAAAGATATTATTCGTCGAGCTGTTGAAGGAAGAGAGGTCCCGGTCAGATTAGCCAGTGGTACGGTTTAAACAAGTATAGAGAATACAAGAGAAAAAGAAGCTAATATGCTCTGTAATTAGATTTATCACAAAAGAACCCTTTTTATTCAATTCTTCCTGAGGCTACCTTGTTATCTGCAGTAGAAGAATTTGCTTATGGTATACACAGAGGTAATGTTTTGACGTTTATGCACATATCAGACGCAATTACTAAATTAAGTATGACCCATACATAGTCTGTGTACTTAATCCTGACGGATCAATCAAGGTAACTATTATAAAGCAATGTCCCTTCATTTAACCAACATTGAGCTATAGGGTATATTGTCACAATCTAATGTCGCTCGATATCTTTATACGAATCAACGAAACTTTTCGGATATTGAGCGTGTCATGAATAAGACAGTAAGCATAGTAATTCAGTTACATATCAGTGCTTGTATTAATTAATCTTTTATATAATAATAGCTACGTCAGCTGGGCCTTGGTGTATCGGATGTCATTGCTGTCAATGCAGATTCACCCGTGCTTGATGCTCTTTCTCTCATGAGTAATATATAATCTTTGCTTCCTTTCTGAATACAGTCGCTCACTTGTTTATTTTTTTTTTTTTTTTTTGCATAGGCAAGTATGGCGTATCATCTGTTGCGGTGATAGGCCATATGGGTATGGTACTTGGAAATATAAGCATGACTGATGTCAAGGTATATACTTTTTTTTTCGTTTTTTCTTTCTTTCTTTATTTGCTTTATCATGTTTAGTAAACAATAGCTCTAGTTTGTTATGAAAAGCTACAAGCATCAGCTTTTATGGAAGACTTGCTTTCAATTTGTTAGCCTTGTTCGCACACAACAAGGCGTCGAGGATGGCCAGGTAAAGAATAGAATGAACAAAGGAACGCCAGTTTATCTTTTTTTTTTTTTCTTTTGCAGGACCGGATACCTGTTTTTGATGTACGTCTAGATACAACACTGGGATTCACTGTAGCTAAGCTATTAGCTACTAAATCACATCGCGTATGGGTTGTGGATGAAAGAGAGAAAGCGATCGGCGTTGTCTCTCTTACAGATGTGATGCGTGCTATTGCAGCCAACAGTGGTATAGAGATTAAGCCGTTACAAAAGGGAAAGGATATAGAAAAGCAATAAAAACTCAGTTGTAGTACTAAAACTGTAAACAATAAGGTTATTTTATTATGGCAGCTTTCTTTTTCTTTTTATCTCTTTCTTCGTTTTCCCCTTCTCTTTTTCTTCCCCTTTTATTATTATTATTATTATATATACCAGTCAGTCAGTAACTTATTGAAATAGCTTTATACTAATTGTCAACATGAGCGGGATCTTTTCTTTAAAAACTAAATCCCTTACAAAGAGAATAAAGACTAGCAGAGCCTGTGACGACTGTCGAAAAAGAAAGGTAGCTAGGAAAAAAAAAAAAAAGGATAGGTTACATGGACTAACAGTAAATAGGTCAAGTGTGACGGCAAACAGCCTTGTGCACGTTGTGTGAAGGCAAAGATAGAATGCATATTTGTAAAAATGCCCAAGAGAGGTCCACCCAAATCGTATACAGAAAGTGTAGAAAATAGACTTCAAAGAGTAGAAAAGGCCCTGAAATCCATTGCTACACCCGTGGTCAACAGGGTCTTTGATGATTCCTTGAAAAGCAAAGATCCCTGTAACCAAATCGCTTCTACCGAAGGTAACACTCCCTGAAAGCTTATTTTTCTCGCTCACACACATACTTTCAACAGCCTGTACAGTTTCTATATCAGCACCTTATACCACGGATTACTTGAGCTCTCAGGTAGATAGATTCACTATAAATGAGATCGGACAGGCGGTTTATGTCAATGATCTCAGGTCACGAGTAGATAGAGTATCAAACATGTATGTACAGCAACCTAGTGGTTATTATGATACCCAAATAGATGCCTCATCCGTCTGCGATTCCCCACTCTCCTCTGCCGCAGCCTCGTTCACATCCAACATGTCTCCTTTGGAAATGCCCATAAAGGACCAGTCAGCCCTTGGCAAGCAAAATCTGTCTGATATCGAACCTTTGATCGAGATTTATTTTGAACATGTACATAAACATATTCCTATTGTTCATAAGCAGATCTTGTTGAAGCAAATGCACAATTCCACCAGCACAGGTCCCTCGCGCTTACTACTCTATGCTATGTGTGCAGTAGCTTCAAAATGGTCTCCAGATCAAACAAACCAGAATCATTTGATACCCCCTGGATATACTTATTATCAAAAAGCACTTGGTCTACTGGATGATTTTCTCGATATACCAAGAGTGTCTACCGTACAAGCATTGATCTTGATTATAAAATACCAAGATTATTTTCAACGAGTCGGATACTTTCACAGATCCCATGCCTTTCTTGGACTAGCAGCTCAAATGTGTCTTGATTTAGGACTTTCCGAAGTAGAAGGAGATGGTGTGGATGCGGAGATCAGCAAAAGGACATTCTGGGCGGTATTCATGTATGATCTCTTTATGAGCATCGAACAAGGACGTGCTACCTACTTTGACGCTTCCAAATGCACAACTGGGTACCCGGCACTAATGTCAGACGAGAGCTCAACATTTGAAGATGCTATATTAAACCAGAATGTATTCATTCAACTATCCAAAATCCTCTCAGTGACTTATTCCGTTGTAAGACGTCTTACAGTTCGAAGGCAAGCGCAGAACAATCAGGTCACGAAGGAGCAGCTGGTTGAGGAGCAATCCTGGCTGTTCTCGATTCATACTCACCTTGAAAACTTTTACTACGAAATATCCCAGGATGCTCATACCTCTTTGGGAGAGAACCAAACGATCCAAGACCCCTCTACTGGACTTTTACATCTTACCTATCATTTTTGTATCATTCTTTTGCATCAAAGCTATATTGACAAGCAATTAGATAGATCCGAATATGATTTCCTACCTTATCCTCATCGGAAACTATGTGCAAATGCTGCATCTGACATAACAAGCATTGCAGAAGCCTTATGGCAACGCTTTTCCATTGGTACATTTACTGCTCTCCCTCGTGGTATTCAGCACATGATACATTGTTTGTCTGCGGCAGCAACAATACATCGATATGAAATAATGCATGAAGAAAACCGAAGCTCAAAAGATACAGCTAATAGGCAATATGTAGCAACTATTCATTTGATGAAGATACTCTCCAAACAGTCACCTTCTCTTGAAACTGTAAAATGCTTTGAGAATCCTGTTGGATCGGTCCAGTCCGTTAAGAAACGTGCTTCATTTGCATCCCTTCACAATAGATCTGTCTCACCCGTAGCTCATGCAAAGAGTCGCCCATTATCAATGACATTTGTAGAAAGTCAATCTCATTTACCTTACATGGCCTATCCTATGCAACCTATGCCATCAAACGATAGTAGATTCTCATACCCATTACAATCCTTTCCTACCTCTGGCCCCAGCTATCTATATTATTCCAAATTATCACCTTATCAGCTAGAGGGACAAGATAATAACGATGAGCATCTAATATCACCTACCTATGCCGACCAATTTTCCTATAATCCTATCCCTAATATGAGCGAACTATTCCTAATGGATGATGAAAATCAAATGACTCAAGATATGATGATAGAAATGTAAAAGTATAAATATGTGTGTGTGTATAATAAATCCCAAATCGTAAAAAACAGCCATGGTTGCTTATACATAAAGCGTTGGTGCATCCTTTTCTTTATTTCCTCTTTCACTATTATTAATGCAGTTGTAAAGCTGATTTGATCTATAATCCTTCATACGCTGTTCAGAGACGATCAGAAAGGAATGAAAATCTGGATCATGGGATTATAAGATATTTTCAGCTGCTCGTACGTATTTGCCGCCATGCATATGAAATACTGAGCAACGATGGGAGCTCCAGCATTAAAATTGAAGATAGATCTAATAACGACGGCTCTACCGAAAGTGGCTCATCCTACATTACCATCAATCCTTCAATGAGAATGAGGCTACTTGAAGAAGGCGATAGACGCACACAACTTGGCAACAGTGAAGTTGCCGCAGTTATTGTGGTACGGTGTGGAAAGGCGATGTGAACAGTGCATTAAATATATATGATAACTTTGTTTACAAATCAAAACATGGCAATAAAAGTTCTCCCATCTTCAGAAGATCTCCAAAAGATTAACAGTGCTCCTGGATTTAATGTGCATTTCTTAACGCCTCGATAAGCATAAGATGAATAAGACGTAATTTTTTATTCATTATTTTTCTAGTTACTATTAATATACAAATGAAATCAGTTTAGTTACCACCAAAATACACATGCTGAACATCAGCCAATTTCTTTCCTCTCATTCTTGCAATATCCTCAGGTTGTTTTGTATTTGACAATGCCTCAAATGCAGCTTTAATCACGTTCATAGGTGTTGTTGATCCTCTCACTTTAGCACTGATATCTTGGAAGCCGATACATTTACAGATTTCGTGCACATAGTGATTCGTACGAATACCAAATCCTGGCGGTCTAGCACGAAGTTCTAATGTGGTGGCGTGGAATTTATGTGTGAGATCCATAGGTAATGTGCGATTATCGTAGCGTTCAAAGTATCGCATATTCTTGATGGCACGGTTGGTTGCCTTACGCACAGCACGGGCTGCTTCTTCATCTTTACCTTCACCATAGCCAGCCAAGCCATTGCCATTTCCAACAACAACTAAGGCATACATGGAGGGTTGTTTACCTTTACCGTTCATGTTGACAACTCGTTTGACCACAAGTGCTTTTTTCATCAATCGAGCTTGTTCTGGAGCACTAAGCGGCGTATCAATAATATCAGTTACTGTGTTCATCACAACCTCAGGTGGACGATGAGGTGTAAAGGTCTTTTGTTGTTCTAATGTGCTAGGCTTTTCAGTAGGATGATCGAGAATGTAATCGACTTTGCTCAAGTCAGGCACATTGTCTTTGTTAAGTGCGGGGTGTCGAAGCTTCTTGTCTCCAACTGTGGCATAAGCACGAGCTACGTTATATATATTAGTATATGAATACAAACTTGAGTAATATATTTACTTGCTGTTATTCTTGCTGCTGGGATGACCGAAAGCTTGGCAAATGAACGACCAAGTGCTAGCATAATAGGATTAAGGCAAGGGCAAGACAAAACAAAAAAATTTGACAAGGAACCAGCTAAAAAGTCACTCTTTACAAAAAAGGAAATACTGAAAAATTTTCGTGACGTAAGCTTAGGTGTGGTGAGCGGGCCTGCCGAGTGTGAAAAAGGGAATCATTTTGAAGAAGGGGGACAGCGGTCTGATACATAGACACATTTTGGGTTTCTATTTTTTTTTCTCTCTCTTTTAATTAAATCCTCCCCACTCTTAATTCCAATGAATCACCTTAGATTGTTTAATAGATCATTGACTACTGCTCGACCCTTTTTGACTGGTAAGTCAAATTGACAGGCCTTTTCTCCCTTCTTCATTGACACACACCGTAGCTCCTCGTTTTGCTGCAGCACCTGTTGGAAGTCAAATTGCACAGTTCAGCTCTTCTCGCATTGCTCAACATGCTTCTCCTGTCAATGATAACAGCCACCAAATTTCTGGAAAGCCTCCAGGTGTTCTCGATGTTGCTGCACAGCACTTATTGTTGACAGAACTGATGCGTGGCATGTGGGTTGTCCTCGAAAACTTCTTCCGCCCACCTTACACCATTTTCTATCCATTCGAAAAGGGTCCTCTCTCCACCCGTTTCCGTGGTGAGCATGCTCTCCGTCGCTACCAATCAGGTAAAATTCTATTCTTATTATTTTTATTCATATCTAATCTTTTTTAATAGGTGAAGAACGTTGTATTGCTTGTAAATTATGCGAAGCTATCTGTCCTGCTCAAGCTATCACCATTGAAGCTGAGCCTAGAGAAGATGGTTCTCGTCGTACTACAAGATATGATATTGATATGACCAAGTGCATGTAAGTGTTTATGGTTCACTCAGAGATATATGGTAATTGATGATCATCTTTACAGTTACTGCGGTTTCTGTCAAGAAGCTTGTCCTGGTAAGTTTCAAAAAGAGAGGGTGTAGCGTAGACAGAGGATTAATATGAAATGTGTATAGTTGATGCTATTGTTGAAACACCCAACTATGAATATATTACCGAAACCCACGAAGAGCTCCTTTACAACAAAGAAAAGCTCTTGGCAAATGGTGATAAATGGGAAGTTGAACTTGCCAGGTAATGAATATAGATAAAGTAGGTTAAGAGAAACTCACACTTTTTTATACATAGAAACTTGCAAGCCGAACATCCTTATCGTTAAATTATTCAATAAAAGTTGTTGTTTTTATTATATTCTTTATTAAACAAAAATAGTCTTCTTTACAAATTCTCTTGCAGCATTCAATCCTTGTTCATGATATACTGCACCAACCAAGGCTTGCATCACTTTACTCTTCACTGCGGGAGAGACATTATTTCCTGGTAATTGACATCTAACAGCAGATTCTAATCCTAGAGCATCAAATCTTGCTACCAAATGTTGAGACTCATTTGCCTTTTCAATGATTTGATTCAATTGTTGAGCATTTTGAGATTTATTCAAATCAACAGCAAAGTATTCAAGAGAACGACGACCTAAATATTGAAGACGTTCATTGTTGGGAGCGTTGCCATGTTTGAATGATTTATGTGTTAATGCTTGGGTTAAAACGTTGGGTGATAGTTTAAATTGGTTTGCTATTGATTCGATCTGGTTTTGTTCAAATAATGTACGGCTCATGTGAAGTGAGCGACGACTAATGTGTTTTGCTTTTGTCTTATTAGTTATGTTGAAGTGTACATATATACAACTTATTGACATTACCAGCATTTATACGAACATTCTGTAACATTTTCTTTATATCCAGGGTCGAACAGGTGTCAAAATGGGAAACACTACATATACGCAAAAAAAAATTAGTGTGACTATACATATTTTTTTTTGGGTTTTACTATTTGCAGGGGAGATGCTTGGCGCATAACCAAATCTAAAAGAGTAGCGCCAGTGATATAGACAAATGATAGTAAAGAATAATTACAGATGTACACCAACAAGCCTCTACATAACCTCTTTATTATAAATACGTAGAAAGAAAAAGCTTATCATTACAAAAAGCAGCATTTTATATGCGAGCAGGATTATTACGTGGCCAATCAAAATCGATCATATGAATAACTTGAAGATTGACTGCAAAATGCATTATACTTATATGAAGCATCATGCCCAGTTCTAGTTGGACGTGAAAAATTTATGCAATAACTCTGTTTGTTATAAACTTGACAGGTTCACTCATGTAGACAAGGTTTACTTCAAATCTGACGATGAATTGCATCATAAGGAATAAATGCTGATTTACAGATGATGAATGAACTTTATAGTCTGCATTAAAACATTTATGATCTAATGTTGACAGTGAAGCTGCATTAGGACATGTAGAGGACCAATTTGCTTGTGCCTAGAATTCAGATCTCAGATCAGCAATTGATCAGGCACAAATCCAAGTGCCGTCTAAGAGAAGAGCCCTAAGAAACCCTCTATGATCGAAGAATGATATAAATAGCAAAGCCCTGTTTTTTCTTATACACACGCGAAAACGCTATGAATATCCCTCTTTATAATTGACTGATTTGAGCTTATATTCGCATGAGAGTTAAGCGAGAAATGAAGGAGTGACTTAACTTGCATAAGCAAAAGTTGTGCAAAGGTATACATGCAAAATACTTTCTTTTAAAGTGAATGCTAAAGTAACGTGAAGTTTGTAGATACGATGAAAATTACAGCTTTTGAAAGAGCCCTTAGTAATTATGACCCTGCTCCTCCACCTAATTGTTGGTTTGATTCTTTAATTGTATTCAATTATTTGCAGATATGTATAATAGGTCTGTGTCTGTATACTTTGAGATAGCAGGCAATAAGCTGTGCCTGCCATTTTGATCCGGGTCATCCGAGACCTTTGGATCAATTATGTTGTTATTTAGACAGACGACGTGCAACGTTGATACCTGACAGACTGAAAAGAAGTACAGAAAGTTAATTTGGTCAAGTTTGCCATCATTATATGAACCGTCCTGTATAAAAACGGCGTGCAAGACAATGGTATTTTATACAACATAATATAGCCTTCTGCTCTGGTGTGTCCATAGCATTTTCGCGTGTGCGTGGTGTTTCCCATCAAAATTGCCCTCTTTCTTTTTTTGTGTGTGTCTATGGCCAAGTTCTCGCCCGTCCCTTCTGTCTGAACAGGGGGCTGTGGCTTGTTGACCAGGCAGCATTTTATTCCCCGCTTACGATACTTCAACTGTTGGTATCATGCTTAAACAAGCACTTGTTGTTTAAAATACATGTTCATCGTATTTGTTGGGAGAATGGATATGACACATGATAGTATGAATAGCTTATTAAACCTGTTTGAGCCTTGTTCCATCTTTGAATACTTGATCACATTCTTGAAGAGAAGGAACGATAACTTAGTATTGGAAACTTGCAATCACACTCCTTGATAGATTCTCAACGAGTATTCGAAATCGTTTTGATTTGTCAACGGCTTTGTTGATTAGGTTGACCAGCTGTGTGTTTGTGCGTGTTTATATTGCTCAATTTTTAGTGCTCCACTATCATCCTTCATATGGTTTGAATTAATCATATCAATAAATATTACACGTACAAAGAAGCACCTCTTGCAAAGGAATGGGATAGCAACCACGCATAATTCGGTTTCCGAAGAGTGCGGATAATTTTGGTGTTGGTTTGGAAATGCAAAAAATTAGAAAAACGTAGTACGAGTAAATTTTGGTGCTTCCAAATGACAGTAGCAAAAGACTACTTAATGAAAATATGAGCTTTTCCATCCCTTTTCTCTCCATCAGTTTTACTGCTGTTAACTGATAAAAAAAAATATTCATTAATTATCAAACTTTAAGTATGTATTATCCTATAATTATCAAAGACAATTTACTAATAGAAATAAAAAGTTGTCTATAAAAAGCACAAAAGTCTCTGTTTCTAGTTGTTTTAAAATTCAGTGTACATTTTGACCAGGACTGCTTTTCATCAGCATACAGCTTTTTTTTGTTGAAGCACTAAGAAATGTCAGATGCATTCACTCTTAATTAGTGACATCTCAATAAAAAAAATGTTACAAAAACAAAGACTACGAATGTACATATTAATGATTAACATTACTTAGCTTTGATTGCTTTCAAATATTCTTATATGCGATGCTACACTTAAAAAATGTCATAATGTAACTTTTTAATTTTTTACACCAAAATTATCCGACACCGACACCGAATGATGTAATAAATCATGACTGCTTTTGTTGGGTGGTTTTAATTAATGTCAGCCTCAGCCAGGAAAATATGATCACTCATTTACATTTTCAACTCACAACCAATGTCTGCATCAAAGAAACCTAGATTAGATAAAGGCAATACTACGCGTCCATTTATACCTGTTCAGCAATATGAGGTTATCATTCCTTCTTATGCTGCTTGGTTCGACTTGTCTACTATTCACATTAATGAAATTCGCGGACTACCTGAATTCTTTAACAATAAAAATAAATCGAAAACACCCAGCATTTATAAAGAATACCGTGATTTCATGGTCAACACATACCGTCTTAATCCCTTAGAGTATTTAACAGTAACAGCTTGTAGAAGAAATATGACGGGCGATGTTTGTGCAATCATCCGCATTCACGGATTTCTTGAACAATGGGGTCTTATTAATTATCAGGTAATTAAGACAGAAAGCATTATATATAAGTAAAAGCTAATAAAAAGTCTTTTTATAGATGGATCCGACAGCTAAACCAACAGCCATTGGACCTCCCTTTTCGGGCCAAATCAAGATTATAGCAGAGATACCAAAAGACTTGCAGCCTGCCTTGTCGTCTGAAAATCAGCAATCTACTGACGAGGCAACGGCAGATGCAACTATAGAAACTAATATGACAACAGATAAAAACGCGCCTGAAGAAGCCGTAAAGACAGCAGAACCAGAAAAGGAAATAAAGACAGCAGAACCGGAACACATAAAGACAGAAGAGGCCAGTTCTATAAAACAGGAGATTTCATTAAATCTAGACTTGCGTGAAGACATATTTAACACAGCCAAGAATCATCATGCACAAAAGAAAACTATAAAAACGTGTGAATGCTGTAAGAAATCACAAAATATATATGAAGGATATCGACATGAATCCATGTTTGTATGCTCTGAATGCTTTGAAGCAAGTAAATTACCTGAGGGCACAAAGAAAGAAGATTACGATAAAGAGATGAAGCACGAAGAGGAGCCACTGGAAGATACATGGACAGAACAAGAAGATCTATTGTTACTCGAAGGCCTCGAAATGTTTCCGACGGACTGGAATAAGATTGCAGAACATGTGTCCAGCAAAACGCGAGAAGCCTGTGTACTGCGTTATCTGAAGCTACCTACAGCAGATCCTCGTATTGATCCTGATATTAAGCACCGAGGATTACTAGATTTCGATGCAAAAGATAAAATAGACAACCCAATCATGTCAGTAGTCGCCTTTCTTGCTTCCAATGTGAAGCCAGAAGTAGCATCTTCAACCATACACGAGCGACAAGATAGTGATGCTGAAATGAAGGAAAAAGAAGAAGAGGACAATCAACAGCTGAAAGCTGACTTATTACATAGCAAAGTGTCTCTCTTTTCAGCGCGACTACGTCAATTTAGAGAGAAAGAAAAGTTAATAGATTTGGAGCGTCGTGAAGTTGAATATGAAAAATGGCGCGCTCAAGAGGACTTATGTTTTCTAAAGAATAGAATAGATTCAATATATGCTCGTATGTTTCATGCTAGTCAAGCTAAAATAGCAGCACAGCAGCAGCAGCAGCAAGAAGAGCAAATGCCAGAAAATGCCATTGTGTATTTGCTTGATGATCCGACATTAACAGAAGAACAAAGAAATGAACAACTTGAATTAAAACAAAGATACCCAAAACAGTATGAATCAAGGCAGATATTATTGCAGCAACAGCAACAACAACAGCAACAACAACAACAACAACAACTCCAGCAGCAACAGTCAAATGGTATTCAGCAAGTTTAACATAAATAAAGATATTTTATTTGTTGTAAAAGTTGCTTCTTTTCAATTGCATTGCTGTTTTATAAGGTGCAGTAATAGGAGGCTGTAATGGATCAAGCGATTTATATGAAGCAGCCAAGGGATATGTTCTATCAGCATCATAACCACTAACAACATGTATAAGTCTCCTTTGTTCTTTACTCTATTACAACTTACTTTAAATCACCACAGGCGATAAAAGGAACAATGGTTCTATTTGGACCGACCAAGTTATTCATATCGTCTATTCATAAATTAGCCACATAAAGCATTTATAATATGCAGAGAATTGATTTACCATATTGCATATCTAATAGGGGATTAGCCATTGTTGGCACATAATCTTTAGGAGGCTGATAATTTTGACAAACAATGAAAGCTTCGATACTTGAATTACGAGAACTTCTAGGTTTACTACAAGTAACTGTTGGGAAAAATATCTTGAGCTGACTGTAGAGCAATGTGATATCCTTTCCACGGAATATTTTAGCAACAAATGTTCCTCCAGGACGAAGAACATGTGTTGTAATATTCAATGCTGCTAGCAATAGCTGTGCCTGTATGTATTCATCCATATCATGAAGACCAGTAACTATGACATATTGGTTATTATATAAAGTATTTCTATGGCCCATCTAAGTTACCATCAGGTGCACCGTCGCAAATAACAATATCTGCCATTTCACCATCGAAGTATGAAATAATCTTTTCTGCTGTTGTCTTTTTAGTGATATCTCCCTGTAGCTGAATGACCCCTTCTAAGGGCGCCTTTAGGTTATAATATTAGATCAGTTCATAGAGTCCATGTTTAATATTACCATTGCTTGCAGATCGACAGCTACAATCTTTGGTTCTGGTTCATTTGGTGTCTTTTCGTGATTTTCACTATCGATAGAATTAGATTGACATTTTAGCTGCTGTTGCTGATTTTTACTTTAATCGCTTTGACAAAACCTGTGACCAACTACCAGGCGCTGCGCATAGATCAACAGCTCTCTTAACTCCTACATTAAATATGAGATTCCTTTGTAGATCAAGAGGCCTTTGTGTAAAAAAAAAACCTTGCAAAAAGTTGAATTCTTCATCAAGTTGTAATAACTTGAAAGCGCTTCTTGCTCTCCAACCTTCTTCTTTTGCGAGACGATAGTACTTTAAAGTATAAATGAATCATGTATGCATAAAAGTGTCCTCACTTACAACGTCTCTCTTGTCTTTAGAAGACTTGCCCATGTGACTATAAAAAGTATTAAAAAGAGAAATCTCTTTTTGACAGATTGACTTTCAAATTTATTGTTACCACAGTCAATAAGAACATGCTACAAATATGTATTATAAAATACAAGTTTGACTGGATTTGTCAGAACCAGGATAGTCTCTAGTGGTATAGCTGACACTATTGTTGAAGGCGGCCAAGTCAACGCTGCTAATTTGGGAGGTTGATTTATTCTCCCAAGCAGCTGCCATGGCGGCCTTCGCTTTATGGCCCAATTGCACTATGATCCCATGGCCATCGTTCGCCATTTTGGGAAGCTGTCTTTGTTCATCAGTTTTACCGTCAATCCCAAGTGGGCAGAAAATACCGATAGGCTGCTACCCGGCTAAGTAGCATTTGATAGACTCGACTTGATAGCGAGAGTGCCGGTTATGTTAGCACCACAATATATTCTATATAAATATATAACAATATTTTCCCTTTGACATGATGCTACAGTTGAACAGGCTTTGATAAATTCTTTATATTAAGCTGTTTATTCATGATGTTAATTTTATGGAGATGTCTTTTTCTTTTCATATAAATGAAAAGAAGCCTTTTAGCGCTCAGTAAAATGAAAGGAGGTTGTGTTATTTACGGTAATGGTGATACTAAATGCTTAATTGTAGGTATTAACCCTACTTGCATTGCAAAAGAAAGTGACCTATATCTCAACATACAGGTTTACGACGGGTGGAACGCAATTACACGAGGTAATGTGAGTGGGTCAGAAAGAATACCTGTTTTTGTGATAAGGTTGTTTTTTTTTTTGTAAAAATAAATGTATATCGTCTACTTGTATCCTTTTGATAAGCTTGACATATTATATGTATACGCCAATGAAAGCATCTGCCACCAGTTTCTTAAGTCCTCTCTAGACTCTTAGTATAATGAATAAATAGATATATCAATAACTAATACACTAATGAATTTGATTGTTGCTCAAGCTGTTTTTTGATGTGGTCATTGTTAGAGAATTAAATAAATCAGAGAAAGATTAGTGCTTTTCTTTTTCTTCTTTTTACCTTGTAATGAACTCTTGATTACGGAATACGGCAATACAAAATATCAAGAATTTTACCATAACACGAGCCTCGATCTTAACAATCAAAGATGATGGAGCAATGAGTGTAATAATTAACATTAAAGGCGATACCTTTGGTATACAGCTAGTTTCGTATCAAAGGAATGATCGAATATGTCTTGAGGAATTTTGTAATGAACACCGTACACAGTGTTCAAGGTAATCATAGTATTTATTGAGAACCCTGTAGGAGTGTTTGAATGTGAACTTGTATGTTGATGATTTTGTTTGTATTCATAGAGTACCTTGGGATCGGATTCCACAGAAAACCGAATGGAAATACCAAACAAACAGCATATATTACAATAAAAGAAATTTGTACTTCATCTATAATAGTAGATGAACAAGCCGTAGATGAGCCCGAAAGGGGCATCTTTTATCTCAAATACGCTCTGGAAAACTGGAGTGACGAATCACTTGTAATCAAAAAATGTAACAAAAAAAAAAGGCATGTTGTTTAGGATGAACAAGACGCTATTGTTTATTCAGTAGTCTTCTAGTTACAGGAAAAAGTGTACAATCATTTATTTATTTTATATGTATATTCTATATTATTTACAAAGAATAAAAGGATAATGTTGTTATAGTGCATCTTCATCTTCACTAGCGCTACTCACTCGTTCCCATTCTCTTTGTTTATATTCATCTAATGTCCCCAACAGACCTTCTGCTTGCTTCACCAAGTTTTTACGCTCATTTCGAATATCTTCATCCCCATCAGATTCAATTGTATCAAGCTTTAGCAGTACCTTCATTATTTCGTCTTCATACCCAAGGAATTCTCGGTTATTAGCAGTAGTTGCAGTGAGAGCATCAGGTGATAAAGGTCGACCATCGCTTGACATGGGGAAATCAAGTGTATTGCCCAGTATATGCTTTTCATGCTTTTGTTGTATGTCTTTCAATTCTTGTTCTATCCGACTCAGAGCTTCATACTTGGCAAGTTTCACGGGATCTTCTTCAGGAAACACCGAAAAGTCTGAATGATTTTCTTCTGAAGCGTCGAGGATCTCGCTCACGAGGCCCTTGATGTTTTCAGTAGGTTCTATCAGGGAAGGAACATCTTCATCAGCAGAAGTCATTTCGTCATCCAAGTCTTCTTCCATGGGATCATTAGTGTTATCGGAACTGTGATTGGTATATTTAATTTCCGTGTCGTCCAGTGCCATGTCACCATGAGGTTCTGCTTCTTCCATAGCAGTTTCAGGTTCTTCATGTTTAACTTCATCATGCTTAGCTTCACCAAATTGAGGCTCTTTGCATAGAGGTACATCATGAGTAGGTCTTTCATGCCTTGTCGTTTCATCTTGAGCACCAAAGATCAATTTAACCAAGGCAGCCAATTGCTGAGTACGGACGTCTTCGTTATCATCTTCATCTTCCTCCTCTTCAGGTTCTGACTCTTGATAGAATGCCGAATGATGGACAAAGGGCTCTTGATGCTTTTGAGGATAATAATAATTCATGTAGTGCTCTTCCAAGGCAGCAAGATATCGTTGTTGCTGCTGCTGTTGTTGAATCAATTGCTGTTGACGAATCAATTCTTGACGTTGGCGCTCTTTTTGCTCATAGTAAGCACGGATAGCGCGCTCTTCTTCTTGACGACGACGATAGAGTTCAGTCATGACTTCAAGGTTGTATAAAGCCCTTTGAATACGGCGTTGCTGCTGTGCATGGTACATGGCAGCTTGTCTTTCTTGACGAAGGAGACGATGAAGTTGAGCATAGTCGTCCAAAGACAAGGATGGATAATCAAAAGTAGCTGCTGGTTGGATATAAAAGTACATTGTTAAAGATATATAAAAAAAAAGATGATGCTTTCTTGATCCTGTCAAAAGAGGCAGAGTTTATATAGACTTTTTTGCAGAAGATTCGAGTAACTGCTCGATAACTTCTTACCAATTAAACTCCGCGCTTAGTAATTTTTCCAGATACGTCAGCTACGGCTTACAGTAGACGGAACTTTCTTGAAAGGTTGTATACTTGCATCTCTTGAATCATTCTGCTGACTAAGCCTTGTTTTTTTTTTTATCAAGCAATAATAGACGTTAAATTCCAGAGCAAATAAGAAAACAGAAGCTTCAATAGCATATTTGCAGTGACAGCTGTGGAGTAAAGAGTAAAATTGGCATTTGTAAGAGACAAAGTAAAACTCAGCTTCTGGATCTAAAGAAAGAGAAGAAAAGCCAACCATAAACAGTTCTAAAGTGTCGACAGTCTTGTACTTTATTATAAATGAAATGACTCGCGTAAAGGCTTCATGAATCTATATTATTCAGACTATTGCAAGAAGTTATCTTTCTCTAAGTGTTATATATATGTATATACACTATACATAAAGCAACAGCAATCCGTTCGCTTTTATAACACTAAGGCTCATCTTTTCTCTTTGGCTAATACCATTTCCAAGCTTTACTGTGCTTTCCTTTTTGATGAGGTAATCGCGTAAATTTTAATACACTGTGCTGCTTGATTCCTAGTTGACTGACAATAGCATTATCATCTAATAACTTTGTACCATCAAATACCAAGCAGTATGTTCTCCAAATGAATTTCCTAACCATATAAGAGATCCATAATAATAGTATCAATAATAATTACCAACTAATTCTTCTCTTCCTGCCAGTCTTTTCTTCCTTTTCCATCCTTTCTACTGTCACTTGAATAAGCTTTTTGATATCTTTGACACTATAGGATTGTCCAACAATAAGATCTGACCCAAGTTAGCCCCCTTTTCCTTTTTCTTTTGCTCATTGTGATCTTACTGATCGGTCGTAAAGGCTCACGTTCAACTCGTATTCTGAAGGCTTGTCCCTTTTCAACTGCAATAAGCGAATCGATTTCTTTTTCAGAGAGTGAAGGTGATACGTCACTTAATAATTCATCATTTAAAAGCTGATTGATCTTTTCTTTCAACTCTTCAGCTAAATGCTCTGACATGCAAAGAAAAAAAGACCAAAAAAAAGGCTGGAGTATGGTTGCACGCAGACAGCGGACCAATCATACTCTTTATAAACAAAAGGCTGCATTGGATCCCTTTACTCAGTGTAATCAACAGCACGGTAGCATTAATCTTGCATGATTGTATATGTATGCCATCAGCAGCTATTAAAGTCTATATATATAGACTTTATATCTACTTGAGGAAGCTTCTATTAATAATAAACATCAGTGATTGGAAGTAGGAGAACATGATAATCGAATCAAGGGAGAAAGAGGTACAAAAGATCATGATCAACATTTATAAAGAATGAAAGCAAACAGTATTACTGATGTCCTCCCTGGACGTGGGCCACGAGACATGCAGTGCCCACACGCACATACAACATCCGGAGTTGTAAACATTTTTAGCTGTTATTGTTGTTACCACTACTTTTTTTTTCCCTACATAAAAACATAATGAATACCAGCCGAGTGATTCCCTTAACCTGTTCAGGACACACGCGACCTGTAGTCGATCTCCACTTTTCACCCATGGCACGCGATGGAAGATACTATTTAATATCTGCATGCAAAGGTACAGAAATATTTATTACTAGACAACATTAATCTAAGTGTACATGCAGATGGCAATCCCATGCTACGCGATGGTATCACTGGTGACTGGATTGGTACATTTGAAGGACACAAAGGAGCTGTTTGGAGTGCACGATTATCTAAAGATGCGACCAAGGCAGTGACGGGCTCTGCTGACTTCACTGCCAAGATCTGGAACACACAGACGGGTAAAGAAGTCCACTCATTCAGTCACCAACATATTGTGCGAACAGCCGAGTTTAGTGAAGACAATACCAAAATCGTCACAGGTGGACAAGAAGGCCTTTTGCGTATCTTTGATCTCTATCGACCTGAGGCACACCCATTGGAAGTACCAGGCCATGAAGGCACGATCAAGGCTGTTGTCTGGGACGAGGCTAACCATGCTGTTCTGAGTGCAGGTGATGATGCTACAGTGCGTATTTGGGACTTACGAACGATGAGAGAACGAGGCATGATTCAGACGAAGCCTGTGTCAACGATGACCCTCTCGATGGATGGGCAATATGTGTGCTGGGCGGCAGGCAAGACGGCTAACTTTTGGAAACCGGATAGGTAAAAACTATTTTGACTTTTTTTTGATGCATAATGTTTTCTAAATTTGTTTAAACTAGTCCATTAGAAGATGTAAAAACGATCGAGACCAAAGAAAAGACATCATCTGTTTCACTTCATCCCGATCATCAGAAATTTGTGGCTGGAAGTGATGAAGATTTATGGGTAAGAATTTATGATTTTAATACAGCCGAAGTCAAAGGTATTTTAACAAGTAAAAATATGAGAAGACAAAACGATTAAATGCATAATGTAGATGTCTATAAAGGCCATCACGGTCCTATTCACACTGTCAGTTATAGTCCTGATGGTCAAATTTACGCAACTGGTTCAGGTAAAAATAATAATAATAATAATAATAATAGTAATTATAATAACTCATATCGGAATGTAGAGGATGGAACCATACGTTTATGGCAAACCGATCCTAGTCAACCTTATGGTCTATGGCAAAAACCTGTTGAAGCTTAATCTGTGGCCCAAGCGCACGATAGCCAACTGTAAAGTGTTGAATAATAAAGGAGAGAGAACGTCAAGTTTAATTTTGCACCAAGAATCCATATTCTTCTGTGTTTATCCTTTTTTAGAATAAAGGTTCTTTTTGTAAAGTAAAATTTTATCATTTGCAACTAAAAAGGCAAGATAAAAAAAAACAAGATCATGCATTATTATGAAAATAACATGCATACTAGATTGATTTGTGAGACTATTAAAAGGAGACACAAAGACAGAAAGAGCAGAAAAAGGGGAAAAATTACAATAGAAGTTTAAAGAATGTTTGATGTTTAACATTCCTTCTTGGTAACTCTTTTTGTATACGTAAAGTTTTTATTTTTGGTAATGTGAAAAATAAGAAAGATTTGTAGGCGTAATAAATAAAGATAGAAACGAGAGGAAAGGGGAAAAAAAGGGGGGGGACTTGATAGAACGTAGACAGTTTTATGAAAGAGAGAGAGATAGCTTAAGGAGACCCAGTAGATAATATAAAAAAAAGAAAGCATGAAAAAGAAGGAGATGCCATAGAAATAATAATAGTAGTAGTAGTAGTATTAAAAGGTATAACGGGTGAAGAAATTTATAGTCTTAATAATGCTTGTAATGCGTTCAGTTGACGTTGATCTTCAGAAGAAGGTATCTTGCCCCAAGCGATGTCTTGAGCGGGAGGTAAGGGTAACATTGACTTTATAAAACTAGGAGTATAATGATGGTGATGAGGGGGAGGAGGTGAAGATAAATCTGTCATCAGTTCGTCGTCACATGTGCTAGGTGAGGAAGAAAGCGAAGGAGGAGAATTAGCCAAATCGACGTCGATTGACAAATGGCGGGATAAGGAAGGCGTTGACAATGAGAGGCGCATGTTGTGAATTGTAGCTGAATGTCCACCACTGGTATCAAGTGGATTCAGTTCTGGATAAAGTCCCTTTTGTACTTTAATCGAAGCTAATAAAGGATCGGTTGAAGGTTGCTTTAAACGACCGGCTAATACATCAGACTTTGAATAATAAGAGATAAGGTGTAGCTTTTGGTTGGCGGCAGTACAAATGGAAAAGCTTTGTTTGATGAGGCCATCTGGTTTATAAGAACAGGCAATTGAAGATTTGTTGATAGTTAATGAAAGTCGACGGGGTCTTCTTTTAGTATCCAACTCACGATAAGTTAAAAAACTGCCTAGTACCCGACTAGGTGACCATGTTTTGCCATCTGTCCAACGGCGCATACCAGCCTCTCTCTCGTCCCATGCAAATACTGAACCAGATCTAATTTGAACTCTTTCTTTTGATGATAATCTACGTTGAACTCTTTGTAGTTTTGATTTTCTACATGCTTCGAATATAATTAGAGCATCTTGCGGCGTCTTTATATAACCAAAATAGGTTTCCATAGCAATAAATAATAAATTAAGAGGAAAAAGAAAAAGAAAAAAGAGTGGAAATAACAATAATAAATAAATAAGAAAAAAGAAAGGAAAAGGTATATTTATAATCTATTTTAAACTTTTTTTTTCCCTTCTATGATCAGCAAATTATGTCATAAACGCGCGAAAAAATAAAAATAATAATGTTTCATGCAATACAAAAAAAAAGCATTCTTTGGGGGGAAAGGAAAAACTAGGGGGAGGGGACACAAAATACATAAAAGACTTGATTGGGAAATATCTCGATTGCCTCTCTTCTTTATTTTTCGATTGATGTCATAACACACAGCAAATTTTTAGGTTCTGGCCCCGTTTGATACAATGATTGTTTAAACAAAGTTTAACCTGAATTTCGGAATTTGAAAGGAGTTGCTATGGTTATTGAAAAGAAAAAATTAGAATAAACTTTATTTGGTTAGCAATATCCATCATGTTGGTTCTTTGTCCAACCTTAATTGTTTCATTCGTCTTTTTGATGATTAACTTTAATATATGGAATGATATTTCTTAAGTATCTGATTTCTGCCTTTGTTTTGACCATTTCATGTCCTGCGCCCACAAAAAAATAATGTAGACTGATGCACATCTACAACAAGTTTTAGTCTTTCTGTAAATTTGTATCTATTACTTACCAAAATGTGCCACCAAGCATGGAATTGAGGGTTAGGAATCCATTTATAAACAAAACAAAGATTTTTATCGAATAACCAAACAGAGATGGCTCCTATAAGATAATAAACACCTTGATGAAAAATAGACTTGATTTCCTTTCTTTCTACGCGTCGATACATTTGCCAGACAAACCAAAAACAACTCCACATAATTAGACCGAATCTATAAAAAAAAAGGAGGAGTCATTATAAAGAAAAAAGTAGAAGCATCTGATCTAAAGGCTTACGATGCTTGGAACAAGTAAAACTGTAAGCTGCCTTTGGATTGACTAGTCAAGATGGTAGCCAGTAAACAATAAACAATCATCATCGTTGCGTAAAACGCATGTTTATATCCATGCTCTTCTAATAATAACCAAAATAAATAGCATGCAGTCCAAATCATTGGCACCTTGCTTTAAGTTAAACTAACAACTCCGTGTCAGTCATGACAATGTATGTACCTCGTCCCACATTTGGTATTGGAATTGTAATGTGCCATGAAATAAGATGCTTTTTATTATTTTAGTAAAAGCATATTACGGATAGAAACAAGGTTTTACCTTCCTATGCCAACAATGACAATAAATAGGTAACCAGCACTTAGCTTCCATCCCAACGATTGCCAGTGTAAACATGCACCTAGGCAGCCAAAGATGACCATGGCAAAACTCTAAATATGTAAACAAATAATCAATTCAATAAACTTATCTTACTGAAATTGTATTCCAGAATTCTGCAATGTAAGCAGAATACAGATAATTTTCTTCGCACCTATTTTAGTTTGATGTTATCATCAGAATGATATCATTATTATGGTATCAGCATAACATTAATACCAATCTACTGAGCTAGTCACTGGTCCCCAGTAATGATCAGCTTTAGTCATTTTTATCTATTATCTTCAAGAAAAATAAAAATAAAAAAAGGGGCCACAGAAAATGTAGAAAAGGAACAAAATAGAATATCTTTTTCTTTTTTTTTTGTTTTTATTATTCTTTGTCGTACCATTACACAACCACGCTTAAAAATAAGCTTGGCTGGATGATGTTATCATCATAGCGACAGTTAAAACTCAGATGAAGCACAAGTTCAACAATAGAAAAGTTTAGATGAAATAGGTTCACAAGCCATTGTTTGTTACTTTAGGAGAACTAGCTGCAGATGGACAGGGAGAGTCAGGCGTGATGGGCACTTGAGACTTGTTTCCAATCGATTGGTACCATTCCTCTTGAGTTTTGCCATTCAGGATGCCCACGATAATCACAGACATGTTATCATACCCAAGTCCATTTGTCGTTTCCTCATCTGCAATACAGTGATCCATTAGGTCTTCACATATTTCTTCGAGCTTCTTTCCTAGACTGATTCCTTTTTGGACAAAATCGACTACTTCTTGATTCGACATACAATCCCAAATGCCTGTTTACATATGTTATATATACTGTATATTTCTATTTTATGCTTCTTTTACCATCACAGGCTAACACTATAAAATCATCCTCTTTTGTGATTTTGTGCTCAGTCAAGTCAGGGTTACCTAAAATATCACAAGTCATGAGTTCTTTTCATTTTTCACAACCGTTCACTTACATGTCACCACTTGCTCCTCAGCTGCAAGTTCTTCACTTTGCTTAAATTCAAAGTCACCTATGGCTCTTGATAATGCCAAATTACCTATATTCTCATTCCTTAATAACTTTGCCGTTTCTCCCCCTTTTATTTCATATTTTGCTTACCATTCACGCGTCCAAATTCAACAAATCCGCCTGCCTTAATGATCCTTTCCATCTCGACTTCGTTTGTAGGCTTATGATCAAATGATAATGGTTTGGCCTTGCCTCCCGAACTAATGATAGCTCTTGAATCACCTGCATTTGCCTAAGATGACACTTAGCACTACTATGTCATCATTATCTGCATCATCATTACCACAATAATATTATTGTCATCCGTTATTAATGCAGCTACAGCAGTACAGCCAGAAGGATCCAGTGCATAATTGTTATCTATTTATGTGAATCGTGTTGCGCTTTTTCTTTTTCCTTTTTTTTTTATTCTTTACCTTCTAATAAGGCTTTATCTACGGACATGAATGCGTCTCTAAAAGCTTCCTTATACTCCTTTTTAGCAAAATGTTTGCTCTCAAGTAACTTTTTATACAATGTTTGACCCGTGTACTGCGCAATGGATGAACCTTTATACATATAAAAAACATTAGTATGTTTCTGTCAATATGTACCCTTATTTACCTCCATGTCCATCATAGACGCCAAAAAAACTACAATTAGTATCTCCCAACTTTAAAAGAGTGGTATGAGCATCTTCCATGGCTAATTTATAACTGTTTGAGTAATGAATTCAATTCCTTTTCTCTCCGCAAGCATTACTCAATCTCCATCCTTGCATGTGGGAGCAACCATAAAAGTATTTTTCATTAGCATCTTTACTTGACGTCTTGTTCGTGTTTGGTTCAGATAAAGTTTGGCCCATATTTACTCTATTTTTATGCATATAAGTCATCTTGTTGGTTCATTTGGCTTCTTACTTTATATATTTCTTCTTTTAGTTATCACTTGCTTTATTTGAAATTAAGAAATAAAAGCAATAATTTACACTCTTTTAAAGACGTAATCTATTTATTTCCAAAAAGTGAAGTAAATATGAATCAACTTTGCAGACCTGTGAAATTAATATCGCTTGGCAGAGAAAATTAATGTCACGTGTTGCAAGTGATGTCGCATGTCTATGATTGTCCTGTAAACCTCCACTTTCCATATTAAGTAATGCTTGAAATGTGCCTTTCTAAACTTGAAGGTTTACAACACAGCTTACATAACTCAGTTTCTAAATGGCCACCATGTCGACAGGATGACTAATGAATCTTCATGTTTCTTTTTGTGAAGAAAAAACCACGTTTAGTTTATTAAGTAAAGAAAAAAATGCTGTTCTATCTAGCCATTATCCTGGGATAACGTTGAAGCCAGCATATGGCGTATCATTGATTGCTGCTGACGAAAAATACCGATTGGATACGTATGCATCATGAAGCACTACACCCTACCAGCTGGTTTGCCTCAAACTGACCTTTGCGCTAGAGGTATCGCTCAATCTTTTGAACGAGGCGAAGCTTATCTTCTGAGATAAAGCCTTTCAAATGAGCTTTATATATTAATATCTTTTAGTTTTATACTTTCAGTTTATTACTAAATATGCACTTTACTTCTTTATATTTCTCTAAGGCGAGCGGTTTTTCTTCTAAAAAAAACTGATGAGACTTCTATTGCAGCAGCAGGAGCAAGAAGGAATGGATAATGAAACTTTAGCTGAAGAAAGTGCCCATCGCTCTTCCTTTAGCCCAAAAAAACCATTCATGGCAAAAGCTAAAGACAGTAGTAAGGTTAAAAAAAAAGGAAACAAAAGGAGAAGGTCATCTAGATCAACAATTTCCCCTGAAATATTTTCCGAAAGTAAATTCTCTAATTAATTCGAAGAATCAGAATCAAGTTTATCAATACACATACATCGCTTACACAATAAAAAAAAAGCTGAATAGCATATTGAAATTGGCCATGCTAAAATGAATATATATTTAGGCAACTCTGAAGGCCATGCAGATGCGGCTATTCTCAATGGTTAAGACGCCTTATTATGGATTTGTTGGGTAAGCTAGCGCATTGCTTTGATCTTTATGTTTTCTTACTTTAAAAAAATTCAGAGTAATTAGCTATGGTGTAAGTTTACATCATTTTCACTGTACAAAAAGGCGAATTAAGGATATACTAAAATCAATACTAAAATTTAATTTAACCAATGTGATATTCAAAGCAAGGTTACTGAAAGAGGTCAAGAAGATAAAATATAGGAGCTTGTAGCAATTCTTTATGTCGTGTCTAATTTTGCTTGTCCCCTGCTAATTGACCTTTTCCAACACATTCTTTGTAAATTGATACTGTCTGGTAGCTGCCATAATAAAGTCAATAGAAGTTGTTGAGCATGGTGTGTACATTTAAGAGCTTTTAACTTCATTTATGATATCTTTAAAAATAAATAATGCGAATACCTGTCCTTGTGCCTATATAATCGTGCAGCTGCTTTGACTTGGGCTCTGCTTGACAGGTCTTGCATTGCTGTTCTACAGCATCTACGCTTTCATTCAATGGGACCTTTTTAACGTCGAGAAACACCGTGGCGTAACGTAAGGCATTATTTTCATTTTTAACTTTACCACATTTGTCGACACAAAGTCTATTAAGTTCAAAGAAAGCCTTGATCAGCGGTTTTACTAGAAGAAAACCATTCGTTTTTAATTTATAGCGCCAAGATAAACATTTTTTTCCAATTCGACTTTCCAACATGCTTTGTAGTAAACGTAATGTTACAAAAATGGCGCCTTAGGGTCACTTTTTCATATATTTTCCAATGAGTATATTCGTTCCTAGAACAATAAGAATCAAGGCTACACTTGGACTGCTTCTACTCTTGCTATGGTGCTGTAGGGCCAATTCCATATATAAAACAGTTGATGACGGGTGTATTCAAGTCATGCTTTAGTAACTCATTTTCTGTCAGCTCGTATGGCTCGTCATCTTCCATTCACTGATGCCATTCGACAGCAGCTTCGTTATATGGATCGGCCATACTCAACCCTTCATGCTGCATGACAGGAAAAAAAAAGAAAAGAAATGGCACATTACACATATATTTATGGATTACAGGTAATTGAAAAGGAACAGTTGAAAACGTAGATGCTGAAAATCTTTTTGTCTTTATATCTTCGTGATATATCAATGGGTTAAGCATATACGCTCCCCAAAAAATGTAACGTCTATAAAAATGTATATATTAATATCATCTACTTCATAAAAAAAAATTACCTGACGATACTAACTGCTTTAAAGACAGGTCACAACCTGAAAAACCTTTTAACCAGTCCACGAAGCGCTATTTTGCTCTTACAAGGTACAAATGAAGCATATCGCTTGACATATGCCTTGTTGTTTAAAAAAAATCACTCTAGTAATGACAACTAATACCATTGTGACATATTCATTTAAGGTAGGGAATTCAGTAGAGTAATTTTCTTTTGGAGGAAGATCAGAAAACTTTATGTTTAAATAAAAAAGAGCAACAGTAGCGAGTGTTACTTTATACTGGTTTCCTGTTACACTAACTGGTTGTAACCAAGAACAAGGCAACTGAAAGACATTGCAAATGTCACGATTTAACAAAGCTGACAAAAATAAATTTACTATGGCTTTTTCATTACAAAATGTTCGAAATATAATAAGTTGTGTATGCTGTGTATATCATTGACATTTGAAGTTAAAAAAGACACATAGGCTTATGAGCCCAACGGAAATATTCATCCTTTTGCTTACCTGTACAACCACGGTCCATCCTTACACTGATCCCAATTAGGATGTTTTTCTTTTTTTTTTTTCGTAAAGGAGTTGTAATATCATGTTATTACTGATTAATGAAGACGCTGAGCTGCCTCATATACTTTATTTAGGATTGAGAACATTAGAGGATATGCCCTTATAGTATTCATGCGATGGTGTTATCTCCTTAGAGAGAAGGACTAAGCATACATGAGACGATAATAACAAGGGCTATGGTGTCATGTGGTCTGCTCAGCACTCTCAAAAAGTTTATTGTTACGGATATTAGAGAGGCATTCATAAGCCAATAAGCTGGCAAAAGGTAGTACCTACTATTGAAGTACAAACTGGAAATATCAGCACGAATATCTTCGTCTACAAGAAACTGTAGGCAAAAGTATATTTGTCTTACTCTTCATAAGCGAGAATGAATAAAAATCAATGAACTATTTGTGGTAATAGCCGGGTATTTCCGTGCCTAAAAGAAGCTTTATCCTATACCATTTATAATGCAAAGTATAGACATACGCAGTGACATGGACTCCCAGTAATGTGATGTTGATTTCGGAAATAGCTAAATATAATAGTACTAACTCTGGAAAGAGAAAACTGAAACAGTTAAAGTTAGAATATTCTGACTAAACAAACGCAGGTTCAAAGCCAGGTAGTCTACAATTGATAAAAAGAGAGAGATAGATGTACTATTTCAGGAAGAGCATGAGGTTTTTAGTATGTGTAGCATATCAAGGCTATAGAGAACGTAGGCGGAGTGAACCGTGTGTGTATGCTAATAAGAGTTATCTAGAAATGCCATAATCATTTTGATTTTTTAAGTAATGAGAGCTATCCTACTAGATACTTTTGTCTTTGGTCATAAGTAGATGATTAAGCGCATGTGTCTAAATAACCATGAGAACGTGTACATTTTTGTACTAAACACCCTTTGCTTGAAATCTTTTGTATTGACAGTAAACTAAAGAATGCATAATTAATGTTTCTAATTTAAGAAAACGAATAGCTAATTAAAGACGCTACTTGGCATTAAGATTTAGAAACAGAACTTACTCTCAAGATGAATTAATCTACTGCTATTCTGAATCTAACGAGCGTATCGAAAGCTAAAGCTTTGTTCCGCGATTCTTATTTCTAAACGAAAGTATCCTTTGAGTTTAAAATGAAAACGGAAAAAAGCAACTGAAATAAAGTATTAGTGTACTTGATTTTCTTACTGCTGACATTAATTGCAAATTTATAGGTTCAACAAATGTAATATGCGTTGTTGCTAAGACAATAGATATAATAAAGCTCCTTATCGAACCGTTTGTCTAAAGATACAAAACAAACAAATAACACAGTAGTTACACGTATCATATGAAAGTACACTCGGTCAGCCTAGTTACTAAACTTTAGTTGATATCGGCTCAACGCGCAACAAGACAAAGAATTCAAAAATCAAAATGCAACAGAGCTCAATGGTTAAGAGTATACTCCGGATGAATGTAAAGCTCAATGAGGCAAATTGAAATGTAGTATGTGAGTAATACTAGTGAAGATGAGGTTATGTTATAGTATCTTTTAATCTCTCTTGTAGGTACACGTGTATACATGAAATAAATTTAGAATGCAAATGAAGGGTAAACGTTTGAACTTATTTCTTTTTTTGGGTAACCTGAAACAGTGCCTATTTTTTACTTTAAGAGTAAATTTGTCCAAGTAAAGTTATTAAATAAAATAACTCATCTTAGGTGACGTTGCTAAGATATAAATCCACAATGATGAGCTATTTATTTTATTTTTTATTCTTGGCGCAACCATTACTATTTATATGTAATATGCGTATCCATAGTTGTGGTGTAACATGAAAGTGATGATATTCCTGGATAAAGTCTTGGCAATTACCATATAGAGTAAAATTATTGAGAACCAAAAGTAAATAATTTTACTTTAAATAGTAAAATCATTGCTGCAATCTCCCCCTTTTTAAAAGAAGCAGCTTTATTTGGTTAAATCTCAGCTTTAATTGAATTTGTATAAACAAGGTTAAAATGATTCACTTTTTTTTTACAGAAAATAACAAATGGTCTTTCTTTTTTTTCTTTTTCTTCTTCCTTAAAACATGCTCAACAATAACTTTTCGACGTCTTGCACTTATCGATTTATAGAAAGCTCAATTTCTGACATTTCAGAAAGAATGTAACTTATCAACTAAGCGCACAAGACAATAACCACTAATAATTATAAATTAACAGAAATTACAACATTATTCTAAGACAGCAACCTGAAAGAGCTAAAGTCAGCTTGGTTAATGAAAGAGGTATGGACATATTAAATTATTTATGATAGCCATTAACCTTGTTGTAATAGATAGGCGACCAATAGAACCCCCTCCTATATTACAGCTATATTGGGAAAATATTACTGAAGAAGAATTAAAGTAAAGAAAAAAACACGTTTTTTTAGACTTTTACTGACATTCAATCACAGAAAATGTCTTCAAAGCCCTTTTTACTTCATGGTGGCCAACATAGTCACAGAACAGGACCCTCAGACTCTGTTACTGCCAGCTCAGGATTATCTATCGGGCTCAACTGTGTCATCCTTACATAGACTCCGTGATATTGATAATTCGGGTAAACATTTATTCTATAAAATTTTTTTGTGTCATATTCATCTCTCTTCAGATGGTGGCTTCTTTGTGTTTGGTGATCTTGCAGTTAAAAAGGAAGGCAGGTTTAGATTACAATTTAGTCTATTTGAGATATTAGAGTAAGTCTTATTTTTTCCACATAATGTCAAATACTCATACTTTTATTAGTGGTGTGGTACATACCCGTAAAACGATGCTCTCCAATGCATTCACGGTTTATCTACCAAAACATTTCCCCGGTCCAGTAGAGGCAACGTTCTTATCGAGAACATTTTCTGATCAAGGAGTCAAGATGAGGATTCGTAAAGAACATAGAATGCAATCGTAAGTTCTTCTATTATTTTGAATTACATGTATCTAAGCACTTTATACAGACGCAAAAGAAAGAATATAGATGAAGCGGATAACCAACAAAAGAAAAGCCTTAAACGATCTGGCATGCTTATCTCTACGTCTCCTCCTCCCTATTCATCCATGAACCCATCCGATGTCTTCTTTGGAAGATGGCAAGCAACAACAGATAAATCAAGGCAGTCATCTATATCAACTTCTTCTTCTTCTATGGATGACCATGACTATAGGGCATTGACCAACAAATTCAAATATCAGAGTCAAACAATTCCAAGCCCAGAAAGTACGACCTACACCAATTCCATTAACAGCATGGATCCAAGCCCTTATTCTGTATCACATTCCTCTTGTTTTGCAAACAAGCAAGTTTTACCTTATTTATCTCAATCCGAAAGGTTACCTACACCACCAAATGTAACTGACCATCATATGACTTACCATTGGGGAACACGGTTGCCTCCTCTACGTACCATTATGAATGACGACTATAAGCACTCTTCCATGACTCTCATCCTTCCTCCTCCATCTTCTATTATTCCGAGTTATGTTATAGAGCCTTATTCACGTCGTTGACTGTAAATTTTTGTATAAATTACATTATATACTTCCTTTATCATACCCCCTCTTTCTTATGTCTTCATATGTATATTAAAAAGAACATATGCAAAAAAATAAATAAACAAAGAATTAGATGCTATTCATCAAGCGGAATGGCCCATCACTCAAAAAATAGGTGCATTGTTGCTTTCTGTCGTTATTCGTGGGCGAACATTAAAATTTTAACCCTACCACTTTTATTTTTCATATTCTTTATTCTTGCCTTGCATTATTGTACATTTATAAAAATAACCAATCGACATCATGAGTTCAGGCATTGCACGTGGTCGTTTAATGGAAGAAAGAAAACAATGGAGAAAAGATCATCCACATGTAATTGAAACAAAGAAAGACATTAATCACAAAAACTCATAATCACACACATGTAGGGATTCTGGGCACGACCAGGCAAAAACCCTGACAATTCACTTGATTTGATGACCTGGACTTGCGGTATTCCTGGAAAAGAAGATGTAAGGAGAGAAAAAGAGAGAGAGAAAAAGAGGGGTAGACATGTATAGATTCATCATTTCATGTAATAGACACCATGGGAAAAGGGAGTTTATAAGCTTGTGATGACATTTCCTGAAGGTATTCTTTTTTTTTGTTTTCTTGTTTGTATGATTTCATTATTGACATGCTGTGCTTGTAGATTACCCAAGCAAACCACCTAAATGTGATGATGATTTGCTTTCTTTTCTCAATGAATTCTAAACATCTTTTTATTAGGTAAATTCGTTCCACCTTTATTTCACCCCAATGTCTATCCTTCTGGAACTGTGTGTTTATCTATTTTGAATGAAGACGAAGGCTGGAAACCAGCAATCACTGTCAAGCAAGTACGTTGCTGTCTTTTAAAAAGACTTGATATGTGGTACTAAACATCATGTAGATCCTTTTAGGCGTTCAAGATTTATTAAATGACCCAAATCCAGAAAGCCCTGCCCAGCAGGATGCTTACATGCTATATAGGTAAGCTTGACATACTATGATTAAGATCTAAACTAATACATTTCATTATGTATATAGAAAGGATAGAAAGGAATATGAAAGAAGAGTGCGAGAACAGGCAGCCAATAATCGACCTTAATTTTTAGCAGCCACTGTGTTCCTTTCACTTTTATATATACTCTTTTGTCCCTTTTTTTTTTTTACTTTTTTTTTCTCTTTTTTCCTTGAAAATAAAGCATATACACCCATTTATATATATTTATGACAACTGTAAGTGCTCACTACGACTTGTTAACTGTTTGCCTGAGTTTGCGACCTTTGTGTTTGTTAGCGTGATAAATTAGAACGGGGATCACTGTCATCATTTAATGTTCCTCAACAGTACCATTTACCCATCAGTTTGCTAAGACTGCTATGTCTGATACCAGCGACATTAGGCGCCATCAACAATATAAGTCGAGCAATGACATCACAGCCTACAGTGGATCATTCAGGTCTATTTCAACACAAGAGTACTCCTTTTGTACACCTAGTGGCCCTACTATGGGTAAGGAGCAATTGGCACAAAGTGAGACATTCATTAATATTATCTAGTGCATTTTGTCTGGATATTGGAGTTGGATCTTGACAACCAGCATGCTTCGAAGGTGGCTTCATCGATATGAACTAGGTAGTGCCATTGTTCGTCTGATCACTCTGACAGTGATCATCTGGTCAGTATCTGCATTTCTTAGTTCTCATTACGGTATTGATCAGCCCATTTGGAAGTGGATGGCCGTTTGTTTCATCTTTTTTGTCAGTAACGTGCTCAAAACGACTTTATCATCCAACAAGTACGAGCTAGCAAATGGTCAGCCACCACAGCATAAACTAAACTATAGATCGACATTTGTCAAAGTGCTTGTGCTACCCCTGACTGTAGTTGTGTTTATCACCATGTTTGCCTCACTTTATCAAGTTGGACAGATGCGTAAGCAATCAGCAGTACTGCTGGCGGAGAAGACAGTCTTGCCGACGTTTCAAAAGCATCCTCAACTGCCCGAGGCCGAAGTACGTGTGATGGTGATGGTTCTGTCTGCTTGGACAGCAAAGAGCTTGGACAAGAGAAAAGTGTTTCGTGAGACGACGTTGAAACTGATGCCCAAGAATAATGAAAAGATCTCATACTTTTACCGTTTCATCCTTGGACAGCCACCCAACGAGAAAGTCAAGGCATCGATGGGACCCTTGATTGAGCAGGAACAGGAAACATATGGTGATGTGCTGCTACTACCGTGCTCAGATCTTTATCCAGATCTTAGTCAGAAGGTGTACCACGGCATCGAATGGGCCGAGCAGTATGATTTTGACTATTTTGTAAAAACTGATGACGATATCTTTGTTCGATGGGATACACTCAGCAAAGAACTCGAGCTCGCCGGTCGTACTCAACGATACTGGCGAGGATTGGCTTATTGGTAAGTTATGCCCTTCTTTAAAAGAGAAAAAAAAGAAGAAGCTAAAAAGAAATCAACAGGAATATTCCACCTATTCGTAGCACAGAAAATAAGAATGGAGAACTAGTCTATCCACTTCCCATCTTCCCACCTTACACAGCAGGAGCATTATATATCTTATCACGCGATGTTGTACATATGATTGCAGGTGTTAAGGGGCCCCGCATGTTTGTGAAGAACGAAGATCAGAACCTGGGCATCTGGCTGTTTCCATTCAACATTGTGCCTATTCATGATCGACGCATTCAACAGATTGATGTCTGTGAGGAAGACATGATTGGCAAACACTTTGGCGACTTTGGTGAACCAGATGCGATTGGAGGTACAATGTACGACATGTTGGATAACTTACAGAAGGGACGTAAGATGTGCGCTGGATTCAAGACATCTGTATGTGCCATGTGTTATCCTTGTCACGGCAAAGCAAACCATTGGAGAGACTGGAACTTTGATTGTGATGACCGAAAAGGTGTGACCTTGTTAAGTTTACCTCAATTAACAGTGATGGAATAAGCAAACAAAAAAGTAGACTCTTTTTTTTATTGTATACTAAATAAATACGGTTTTATATTCTTTTACTTTTTAAGAGTGCCAATGATGGCCTGAGGAGCGTATTTCTCAACCACATCAGGCTTATGCATCATGTTGAACTCTTCTGTTGCATCACGACCAGCATAGATCAAGATAGCCTTCTTTCCACCAGGATGATCAGGAAGGAAGTCTGTGACATCCAAGACTTGGCCATTGACAACAACCCAACAGTCATCTGGCTTGTTATGCTTTGCAACGTCATCCAATGTATATTCCTTTAACTTTTTGGGTTCGCTCGTCTTCTTGGCTTCTTCTTGAGCAATGGCAGCAGCAGCAGCACCTGCAGCAGGGGTTTCTGAGGTAGGAAGAGGTTGTGCCGTTTGACTACCGTTGTTGTTGGGCAAGGCGATTTCCAAGCTAAGTGTATTGTTGGGATTGACTTGAATGTTGATGCCGAGGCCACCGTTCAAGTGTTGACCGATAGCATTCAAACGCTGTTGAGCAACTTGAGTGTTATTGACAAGCTTGGAGAAGAGGTATCGGGAAGCGGTTTGTCCGGCAACGCGACCAAAGACGACGCAACCCAAGAGAGAGGAACCACCAAGACGGTTAGCACCGTGAACACCACCACACATTTCACCAGCAGCAAAGAGACCGTTCATGGGAGTACCGTTGGTTGACTTGATTTCAGCGTCAGGGGTAATTTCGACACCACCCATGGTATAATGAAGTACAGGTTGCATGAGGGCGACATAGAAGTAATCAGACATCTTGATAGGCACGTTGTGGAAGAATCGCTTGCCCCAAGGATCCTTAATCTTACCCTCTGCGATGGCATTGTACGTCTCAAAGGTCTTTTCGAGGTGCTTGGGAGAGATGCCCATCTCCTTAGCCAAAGCTTCACCATTGTCAAACTTGCGCATGAGGCCACGACCAGCGTAGTGACGACAGTGCCATTCAATTTCCTTGGAGGCAGCTGTGTTGAGGATAAGACGGATAGGGAACTTGTTCTTGTTCATCATACCAGTTACATAGTCACGGTGACCAAGTTCATCACAGAAACGGTTACCATCGGCATCAAGAAGGATACCACCACAGCCACGAAGAGCTTCAGCAGCCAAGAACTTGACTTTGGCATCAGGTTCCTTAGGATCGACCAAACCGGTAGGATGGACTTGAACTTTTTCGAGATCGATGGTGTTGGCGCCGACAGCAGCAGCCATCTTGATACCATCACCAGTACAGTGGTCACCATTCGTGGTTGAAAGATTGTACAATTCCGGGCGGTACTTCTTGAGTAACGATTTGTCCTCGGTAAAATCGGCGGCGTAACCACCTGTGGCTAAGATGACGGGGCCATACTCACGGTGAACTTGACCGTCAGAGCCTTTGCCAACAAGGACATACTCAACGCCAATGATCGTACCTTGTTCGTCTTTAATCAAGTTTTCGACTTTGGCTCTCTTTATGATTCTTGCACGATTAGGCTGTTTCAAAGCAAGTTCCTCAAATCCTTCCATCAAGGCATAGGTAATGGTCATACCTGGGAATTGCTCCTTACCACGGTGTGTACGGGGGAATGAGTGGCCACCGAGACGAGATACGAGAGAGAGGTCAAGCGTGAACTTGTCTTGCAACCATTCGACAGCAGAGGCAGAGCGACCGGTAAGGACGCGAATGAGGTCTGGACGAGCTAAATCACGTGCGGATTTTAAGGTGTCTTGATAAAATTGCTCAACAGAGTCTTTGATGTCAAGAGCAATTTGAGTACGTGTCAAAGCACCGTTGATGCCCGAGGTAGCTTTTGTAGAGTTTCCTCTTTATAGAATGATGAACAAAAAATACTCATTGATAATCATATATATCTTACCCAAAGAATGGGTTCTTGTCAAGCAAGAGAACGTTACCACCCTGTTCAATGACAGTGTGAGCAGCAGAAAGACCAGAGAGACCACCACCGACGACGATGATTTGATTGCTAAGCGAAGACATTGTAAGAAAGCTAAAGAGAGAAAAGAAAAAAAAGAGAGAGAGAGAAAAAAAAATAAAAGGGTTTAAATAGACTGAATCATGTGTTTACATTTAAGGGAGTGGAGTGGGAATCTTTATTAATATTTTTGTTTACACTATAATTTTTTTTACATGTGCCTCTCTCACACACACACACTTGCACACACACAGAGAGAGAAATAAAGTCAGAATGCATGAATTTATACATAGAAAAAATAATGATCGGTAGGGGGTATAATATATAATAAAAGGGCATATTTAGCTTAAAGAGGGCATAGTAAATAGTTTGTCAATACTCTTCATCCAGTCAATCATATCAGCCTTGTTATTAGCTTGTAAGATGTATGCATTATTATTTGTATAAACTGAAAACACGTTATTTCTTTCTATCATTTGTTCTAAAGCTCGATTATAATCTATTCTCACTGTAGACACATTGATGATGCCTACTTCCTCTGTCTCTAATTGATTTGTATAAATATAAATATAAGGTCTATTTTATTATTATTATTAGTCATTATTTTTACATGTATAAACTTTATTATTACCTCCGTAAGACAAACCATCGTTTAATCCATTTATCATTCAGTGCATTTTCTTGATAAGTCAAATAGCCTTTCTTTGTCACATTATCACTAAAATAATTGATTAGCTTCATGTTTATCATAAAGTTCGTTGTTTTACATCTCAGTCACCAGCTTCACTTCAGATATAAGTTTACTACTACTGCTCCATACTTCTTTTTCAATCTCTTGCATACCAGGAATAGGTGGATCCTGACTAAGAATAATCTATTCGAATTACATCGTATGATATTATTTAATCTCAGTTATCCAATCATGGGTCATTTTAATGCATTACCTCTTTATCCGTTCCCCACTTTTGATTCCAGAGCAGGAGTATTTTACGAATCAGCTCTGATTGTGATTCACTAGGTTCATTCTTGGTCGTACTCATTGATCCATGGCTCGTCTGTGATCGCGCAGTATGAAGCATCAATGTCTGTGCAGTTCGTGATACTTGTTCTTTACGATCAATCCTTGCTCGGATTCGCTTGAAGTCATGAATGAGTGATACACCCCTTGGTCTCCATGAGCCTAAAAATTCTTCACCAGGCACAAATTTGCAGGCCGTATTCAACCTCCACAGCTGACTCACTCTACGTGTCATTGGAGGTCGAAGATGAACAAGAAAGACACCGCTGCACTTGGTCAAATAGCGTGTTGAGGATCCAAGTAGCTTAAAAAGCCTAAAGTGACCCGAGTTGGATGCATCTCGGCCTTGAATGCGGACAGCAATATCCATGCTGCACTGGATTGGTTTGAGACACTTCTCGGCTTCCACTTCCCACTTGAGTGTCAATAGCACACGTGTGTTGTGAGCTGTCAATCGGTTTAGGAAAAGGCAATCATGTTGTGATGAGTCCCATGACCCTTGCGCTTTAAGTACGCTTGTGCCATCATTCTTGTACTCCACCTCACTCTTGCTTTTCATCAGTCGAATCACAATATCTTCATGAGCAGGGGATGGGATGATACGTCCTTTGGCATCTAATAAACGAACCTGTCCTATCATTGCCTTGGATATACGGTTCCATACAAACTGTCGTCCTGATGTGTGCGATAACGTGATACAAATCCTTCGTTGTAATCCTTGTCGAAGCTGAAACACGCCTCGATCCAACGCGGTCTGAGTCATGACCTGAACAGGCGTGTATTCTCCATTAGGCATCAGCTCACAGACCTGAACCCATGCCAGAATGTCGTGCCGTTCAGCAGAGATCAGCTCTTCTTCAGGTCGACGTTCCATAGTCATGCTCAGTCTTTCAGGTGTAGGTCGATGGTCGGCCAACATCTCATCCAGTCTTGGCTTTTCACGCTGATCGTCCCATCGTTCATATTGTGAAAGCGCACGAGGTTGAGCGACACCATACATTTCAAAGGAAATCATTCTGTTCATCAACACCTCTTGTACACGTTCTGTGATCAGTATAGACATCGTTTGGCTGTAATCAAGCACAATCGTGTTGTTAAATCCACTAGCTGGCTGGGTCGCAAATAGCTTCTCGGCAGACGCCTGCACTGAAATACCACCAAAAGAAGACAATCGAAACTGAACATGAACCTGAGTGAATTCAGACTCGCTCAGGCCGATAAGCTCAAGCAAACGGATCTCAAACAACAGTTGCTGCCCGACCTCAAGCACCTGTTTCTGATCCTCAGTGCCTGAGCGCGCAATAGGTGAGACCAGGAGCCGAAGTTTGCCTTTCACTTGACCTGTCATCCTACAGAGTACTTCCACACAACTCTCATATGCTTGTTGCTCTACTAGATTGCGCACAGATACAGAAGCACTGCCAATAAATGAATACTTGGGACAGGGCGATTCATAAAACGGATCTTCCCAGTTAAAATGCTTGCGATACTGTGGTCGATCAATAAAATTGCGCAGCTTACGCATCTTTTCCAAGCGCTCCTTGAGCTTCTCTAGTGACCAAAAGTATATGACCTGATTCTTGCGATCGATGACTCGAATGCCAACACATGGCTTGGGCGTCTTGATCAACATCTCGTCTTGATCTGTCTCAAATTGTTGAAGACTGGAAGTCTCCTCCCAATGAGACTGGAGATGCGTGAAACCTTCTTCGATGATCGCAAACTGATAGAGCACGTCCTTTTCTAGCTCACGAGAGATGATGTTGGCTTCCTTTAATAGGACTGCATGAGTCAAGACGACCTCAGCCATTGCAACATATCTAAGACGCTTCCACTGCTGAACGACCTTTTTCGACAGCTCGAGCTCTCGTTGACTGTAAGGTTCGGGGATATACTGCAAGGTTGACATGCGGTTGAGCTTGGCTTCATAGAAACTGCGTTGCTGGTCTAGCTCTTTTTGGTGCTTCTCTTGAACATCTTTGATTCTTTCTTGGATGGTCGAATAAGTTACAAGAGTAGCGTCCGTACAGACACTACCATCATCCACCATGGTGGCCGCTGTTGATAGTCGCTTACTCGCTGAATCGTCTTCGTCGACATCAAATTCGCTACGACCATCGCGAATACGACGGGCTTGTCGAATCTTGCCAATGTCGTCGTAGAGCTTCTCAATCTCGTCATCGTTTAAGCCGTCAAAGTTGGCTTCTGTTGAATAATGGTTGCGCATGGCTTCAAGTCGAGCGTAATTCCAATCGACAACTTCGACCGTCTCATCATCATCCTGGTTTGGAGACACGGTGCGTTCGGTACTAGGTGTACTGGCTCTCAACAGATCGTTACGTTCTCTACGTACTTCTTCTGGATGATTAAATCGGAAGATGTGGTGATGACCAAGGATAATGCGGTAACCGTTTTTGAGTCTACGTGGTTCATTGATACGAATTCCATTCACCATTGTGAGTGTGTCTTTCTGGGAACTAGGATGTAACGTGACGATATTATCAGCGTATTCAAACCAGCAATGTTCATCCTGAATATTAGCGCCACTCAAACGAATCTCGCACTGGCTTTCGCCGTCCTGACGACCGACACGGGTCTTGCCTGGCTTGATCTGGTACATTAGACACTCGGACATCAAGGGATCTTCATTCAGGTTGACAATGAATGGCACAGTCTTGGGTGTATAAATACCCATATCATTCTTGTCAATGGTGATACCAAGGTCCATCAGGGCCTTTTCACGCTCATGGTGAATCTGCTGTGTCTTTTTCAACTTTTCTTCCCATGTTTCGTTCAGATTGGCCAGCAGCTTTTCTGAGCTCTGCAGTTGTTCCACAATCTCTTGCTTGCTCATTTTTTTCCTCTGTCCCTTACTGTCTTCAATTTCGAGCACCTGGTGCGCGTTTGAGATAGATGGGGTAGGCATAGGCGATTTTAACCCTTCGTTCTGTTTGTACGCACTAGATGAATTAAGCTCTTCAACTACTTCGGGTGCATACACGCGCAGACGTTCACGAAGTTGAGAAAGCTCCTCCTTGAGCTCACGGATCATCTTGGCATTGGGATCCTCATTGACGACAGCCTTGTTTTGAATCTTCTTGGCTTGATCAGCGTATCGAAGGGTACTCAGTGTTTCGTCATAGTCTGCAGGCGAAATAGCGGCAATCATGGCTGTCTTTGAGTTACCACCGAGAGAATCCTTGAGTAGCCAGGTAAGGACCTACGATAGAGATTAGCTCGTGATCTAGCATAAACAAGGGGAACAAAAAAGTTTACGTTACAGAATCACGGTAAGGAATAAAGATTTCCTTTCCCTTTTTTCCTTTGGCCATTGACTGGTCTGCAAGGCCGGAAATGACCTTGCCGAGTGTTGTGAGGGATCGGTTGATGTTGGCGCCTTCCTTGAGGCGCGCGCCGGTTGCCCCAGTGCTGTTGGCACGTTCGCTACCTGCAAGGTCGACCAGACTGATACGAGCGACCTTTTCGGTCTCGAGCTTGGTCATTTCATCGAGTCGAATCTGAGTCAGAAAGAGGGTAAAGACGGCATGCGATCGAGAAGAAGTTTCATTCATGTTGGTTGCTGCTACTGTACGTGCCTTGTTACCTTCGTCCATCAAGTGATTGATGTCATCAAAGGACTTGACAGCTAATCGAGAGAGATCCTCCACATATGGGCCAGTCGATGGATGTTCACGGACTTTGAGGTTGCCCTTATTCTTTGGGTTCAAAAGATCACGTACTTTTTCATTATAGATTTCAATATAAGATACTTCAACGCGATATGTCAAATTGCTGTCTGTGTTGTTGGCTATACGTTCAAAGAGTTCTGAGCAGGTGCGTGGGATGATACCCTTATCCTCTCCATATCCCATCTATTAGAGAAAGTAAATATACATATTTGCAGTCATCTCTTTTTAACGAACCATTGAATATGATTTTCCTGCACCTGTTTGTCCATCTGATAATCATTTAAAATCAACTCTATATAAATAAATAGAGGGAACTTACAAGCAAATATACAGCAATTATAACCATCAAATGCATGATTAAGTAAGTCTACACCTAAATCGTTATAGACTGTATCTTGATCAGCAAATTTTGGATCATTTTTATCAAATGACCAATAGGATTTATCGAATGTGAATGCTTTTACATCTTCAGTATCTCTGCTTCCTTTATGATCGGGTGGTTTGGTGATTATGGTCTGATTGCCTTCCATTCGAATCAAGCAAGTTGCTCCTCTTGCAAGTTCTAACCTTGTTCTTTAGTTCAGTGTTATTTATGTATTGTCTTGTTACCCCTTGAATTCAAAGGTCGACATCGAACAACTACTTTAATATTGCCTCCACCAGTCATTTAAGAGTTGTGTAGTAGTTTTCTTTTGTTTTTCAGAAAAGAAAAATTAAAAAAAGGGGGGAATAAGTGTATGTGTATCTTATGCAGTAGTGTTTTTTTTTGTTATGTTTTTTTATAAAGTGCTTTTTATGTGTATATTGTCGACGTTGTATTATTAAAGTTTAAAAAAAAGCGAAAGAAAGAGCGAAAAAGTGCAATTAATGAAAAAAGGGGGAAAAGTTACACAATATTTTATTTCTTTCTCTTCTGTTATTCTCCTTCTTCTGCATCTGAAGTGGATGTAGAGGAAGTAGTCGAGAAACTAAATATTTGTTTATCATCAAGCCATTTTTTAATGATGCCTGAATCTAAATTGAGGTTACGTAATATGCTCCTTGACTGTGCCTTTTCATGTGGTTCCAAGGCATCAAACTTGTGTCTATCAAAATCTGAAAGTGCCGTGCTTCCATTTTCATCCACAAATTTAGTAATCGTTTCTGACAAGTTTTCTCTCATCCATCGTAGCTCAGCTGCTCCGTCTGGGTTACTCAAGGACATAAATAGTGGATTTAGTGACCTATTAAAATAAGGAGAGTTAATGAGTGACGCATACGTTTAATATCTAAAAAAAAAAAAGCTTACCTGAAAATATCAATACTGTTCTCAAGAACAAGGACACAGGCATATTGTATAAATGGGAAAATGACCCAGACAGAAAGTGAAAGTAAAAAGCTGTGCTCGTAGCCATGGTAATAGAGGTAGCTAAACAAGAGGATGGAATAAAAACCATAAAGGGCAGGCATACCAACGAGAGTGACTAGAATCTTCCAAGTAGCCAATACGTCACGAGCAGCAATTTTAACAGATGATCCTGCGAGAGCCTCTGTAAAGGATGAAAAAGAGATGAGAAAAATGAATCATTTAATTTTCCTTCTTATTTACCCTCTTGTTTCTTTTGACTGATGATAAAGATGAGAATGATCAACGGTGAATTGATCAGGAGTCTGAAAAGGTAGAAATGTTAAACAATATATATACAAGTATGTGATAAACTTACGAAGGGAAACCAAAGAGGGCCAAGAAGGATAACTTTAAAAGACGAGATATCAATACGGGTGCAGCAGAGTAAGGTGACGTTTCTGTCTTGGCAACTTGATGATCCTTTAGTCCGAAATATTTCAATGTATCATTATAAGCCTTGACTCGTTGAAGCAAATCAACTAATCGAGGATCTTTTTCAAAATATTTATATCCGAGCAAGAACCGACGATTCAATTCGACAACTTGGTCAATCGTTAGTTTGTGCTCCATAGCAGGTTTATATAATCTTCGAGCTGCGGCAATAGTCTAAGGAAAGGACAAATATTAGCAATAAATACGATGATATTAGATCAAATTACCATCAGTGTATCATAATTGGGGGCATTCACTGTCACACTCTTGAGACCTTCATAACCTGCTTCCAACAGAGAGGCAATGGCCTCTCGCTTTGCAGTTCCTCCTTGAGCGTAGCTTTGTACCAATTCAGATGAGATAGAAATGGGTGCGCCATAAGACACCACAGCGCGAGACCTGAAACGATGAGGATGAAAGTAATTGAGGCCTACAGAGAGAAAAAGAGGAAAATGCTAATGAGAAAAAGGATGTGTGTAATAAAAAGATACTATACCAACTGGTACTATCTTAACATCAAGATCTTTGTTTTGAGCCATAGCGCCTAAAGCCATGATGGCAAATCCAGCTAAAGAACGAGATGAATAACAGTGAGGTAAATTTATATAAAATACAAACCTTTCAAAGGAAGCATCTCTGAGCGATCATGGCTACCTCCTTCAGGAAAGATAACAATACATTCACCTGCATTTAATCTATCATGTACTTTTTCAAACAGTACACTTTGATCGATATGAGGAATGATTTTATATGCACCTCCGTCATGAAGCAGTTCAACTGCCTCATCTGTCAACTCCTTTTTTAACTTTAGTTCTGTATCAGATACAACTTCGGCTACTTCAAACGAAAGTGTCTTGGAAAGCGCAATGATATCACGAGGAGAGACTTGTTGAGTGAATTGGGTACTTTGTCCGTTCAAGACTAATCTTGATTCTTTGCTGTACACAAGTTTACCAGCGCCTTTGACAGCTAAATCCTGTGGACGGATCACCGGAACTATTTTGAATGTCAGTTTCATCTGCGTGTCTCTTTATCCATCACTTTTTTTTTTTTTTACTCGTGTTTAGTTTTTTAGCTAGGGTTCCTACAATTTTTCTCTTGAAGGAAGCTTGAGCCATAAGAGGAGAGAAGCGTCGAGGATTAGAGATGATGACCAAACCAGGATCTACGAATCTACATACAGAGGGTCATTTATGTGCGCGTGTGTCACATATGTATATATATCTTACTGATTTGCATGAGGAGCAACAATAAAGATACATGGCTTGTCTGTTGGTACATTATGTGTGCCACTGTTGGTAGTAATTTAAAACGATATCTAAATGATGATAATTCTTATTACCTCACTTTGATTTCACGAAAAAATACACCTGTAACTAAGCTATAGAATAGCTTAATACCATTATAGGTATCTAATACCATTTTATATAACGAATAAAGAAGAAGAAAAAGAAGGGAATAAAGTGTAAAAAAAGAAAGAGAGAAAAGCTTATATTTATAGCAAGCTTATTCACATGATTTCTACATTGAATCATGGTTACACTCTATAAAACTTTTTTTTCGTATGCGGTATGAAATATCACACCTTTTTTTTGTCCCTTTATTATTTTTTTTAAAGAGACAATATGCAAGACGTCAATGATGGCAGTAATGTCAGTCCTGCCTTGATGAGACTACGCAATAAACCAAAAGCTCCTCATATTGATTTCACTGTATTCACTCAAGACGATGGAACGGTTGTTAGTACAAAAGATCGTGTTATAAAAGGTTCTTTGTAATTTATTATTATTTTTCATAAGCTTATGAGTAATCATAGATGTGCCAGCTCCAGCTGTTGCACTTCCAACAGATGAGGAGTTTTGGAGTAAAGAAAGACCGGGATTACCAGATATAAAGTTTTTGAAAGATCATTTTTATAGAGAAGGGAGATTAACTGAGGAACAGGCATTGTTTATCTTGGAAAAGGGAACTGACATCTTAAAGACAGAACCTAATCTATTAGAAGTTGGTGCTCCCATCACAGGTAAAAAAATATATATGTATATATAAAGGAATATATAGCTTATGTATATATTGTATATATATAGTCTGTGGTGATATCCATGGTCAATATTATGATTTGATGAAACTGTTTGAAGTGGGTGGTGATCCTGCTAATACAACCTACCTCTTCTTGGGTGATTATGTTGATCGAGGTTACTTTTCAATTGAGGCAAGTTGGGTGTACATACACTTGATTAAATGGGAATAATAACCACGTTTTTTTTTTTTATAGTGCGTGCTTTATTTATGGTCATTAAAAATGTGGTATCCGAATACATTCTTTTTGCTAAGAGGAAATCATGAGTGCAGACACTTGACAGATTATTTTACTTTCAAGATTGAATGTAGGCTTATTTATTAGTTATTATTCTAGTACTTATATATTTTATAGGCCGTCATAAATATACAGAAAAGGTCTATGATGCATGTATGGAATCCTTTTGTTCTTTACCTTTAGCTGCCATCATGAATAAGCAGTTCTTGTGTATACACGGTGGTCTATCACCTGAATTACAAACACTAGATGATTTGAAAAAGGTATTCTTTATTTTACTATCCGCAGCCTACTCACTATGATCTTAGATTGACCGATTTAGAGAACCACCTACACATGGACTGATGTGTGATCTTCTCTGGGCTGATCCACTTGAAGAATTTGGTCAAGAAAAGACAAATGAGCTGTTTGTCCATAATCATGTCAGAGGATGTTCTTATTTCTTTAGTTATCACGCTGCTTGCCAATTCTTGGAAAGAAATAACCTGTTATCCATCATTCGAGCGCATGAAGCACAAGACGCTGGGTAACATTGTATATTGATATATTTGGATACAGTTGACTCATGTCCCCTTGAAATATAGATATCGTATGTACAGAAAGAGTAAGACAACATCATTCCCTTCCGTCATGACTATATTCTCTGCTCCAAACTATTTGGATTTATACAACAATAAGGCAGCAGTATTAAAGTATGAAAATAATGTAATGAACATTCGACAATTTAACTGCACCCCTCATCCTTATTGGTTGCCTAATTTCATGGACGTCTTTACTTGGAGTTTGCCTTTTGTTGGAGAAAAGAGTAAATAGAAAACAATAATAATAACAATATGATGACCAACATTCTTTATAGTTACAGACATGCTTATTGCTGTACTGAACGTGTGCAGTAAAGAAGAATTAGCTGAAGATGATCAAACCTTACTAGAGGATAAACCACCACTGGATGATGCTGAACAACGTAGAATGGTGATCCGTAATAAAATCATGGCAGTGGGCAAGATGTCGAGAGTATTCTCTGTTTTACGTGAGAACTCTGAAAGAGTGACCGAATTGAAATCACTGTCTCCTACAGGCAAATTACCTTTGGGAACATTGGCTTTGGGTGTAGAAGGATTAAAAACTGGTAAGGCGATGAATAATGTATGTGTGTATGGTATACTAACCATATGCTACGTCATAGCCATTACTACATTTGAGGATGCCAAGCGATCTGATTTAGAAAACGAACGATTCCCTCCTACAAGAGAAGTTAAGGAAAGGATGCTAAAGGAAGAAACAGACAGTAAGCTACGTACGGCCGTAAATGAACAGGATGAGACAATGGAGGAAGTAGCGGATGCAATGCTTGAGTAAACAAGAAACCCAACAATAATATCCCGATACCCTAAAAAAGGAAATGAATAAACAATCCTCATTTAGGCATTTTACTTGTATTTCTTTGCCCTTTTTGCCATCGTTTTTATTCTTTTCTTTATTATTTATTCGCCCTTTTTTATTATCCTAGATAATGAACGGAATAATTCCTGGTTATTCAATGTCTACTCCAGTACTTGCAAAGTCAGCGCATGATATCAATTGCCGACTCTCATTCGAAGACAATTACAGCCAAGTCAGCACGAGCAGTATTGCCACCACCACGACTACAAGGAGCAGTAGTAATGGTAGCTATACTGGCACTATCAATCGATCTCACAGTACGCATTCGCCTGCTCTTCATCGAAGAATACACAGAAAACCCGTTCCTGTGACGAAGGTTACACCTCATGCAAAAGATTATGCATGCGCTGAAACAGCATATCCTAGTCGAACCAAAGTCCCCAAGCATATAAATTCTACTCCCCCTGAAGCTTACGAAAAAAGGCCCAAAAGATATCCTTACGATGATCAATTCATACGTAACTCACCTACTCAGTCCATTCAGTCTCCTGTAACTATTACAACCACAACTCCGACTTCAGCCAGAACACTGACACCAACTTTTTGGTATCCTCGAACTGGAAGAGAAAACGAGCCGTTAAAGAGAAACATCACTAAAAAGATTCGAGGCTTACTTCAGCCTCATCGCACTCAATTAGAAGAAGCATCAAGTGAACAGCATAAGCAAGACTATCAAATCAGCCTGCGTAGGTCTAGCACACCAGAGCCACAACATGATCGTGACAGTACTCCTTTCCACATGTTGAGGTATTAAATAATACATATTTCCAACTCATATAGCTTATTTATTTATCAGGCATACTCGAAACATTGCCGACAAGACTGGACTTCAGTTCCACGAGTCTGATTTTATTCAAATAGACACCTATGCGTCAACCGTACAACAAAGGGGACCACTCCTGACACCAGCTATTCTCTCTCAAAAATTCCTTGTCAGACCATACCGTCGAGAGCTATTCAGATTGCGCGCTCTATTCATATGGATTATCCAAAACATCAGGCCCGAGTATCACCAGAAGAGAACTGACCTGCTTCTGTTGCAAAAACAGCAGAACTATTTGGCACAGTACTATCATCGACAGACAGAGAAACCGTCATTGTTGAAACAAAGGCTGAGCAGAATTGCTCACTCTGCAGAGGAAGAAGATGAACCACCGATAATCAATCGATTGGACTCAATGGGACTGCTTCAAGAGGAAGCTGTCTTGTTATCAAACTATATGAATGAAGCAGCTGAACAAGTTCTTAAGAAAAGGACCTGCAAGTCAGCATTTGGCATGGCTCGTTTGTTTGTCGATATGGTGATCGCAGCGGGGTTTGAAGACGCTCGCGTGATATATGGGTATTTAAAAGGTTGTTAGGTAAAAAAGGATACGCTTTCTAGTCAAAGAAAAATAATAAAAAATCAATTGCTGGATCATGTAGCTCCAATGGATACTATAGATAAAGCCGAACAACCGCTTCCTGTCAATCATGCTTGGTGTGCAGGTAAGACCTTTATCAGTCACCCAGTCGGTTTTTTTTTAACTTGACTGTCCTCTCGCAGTGAAAATTGAAGGAGAATATAGGTTTGTCGATTGTTGGCTGGCATCGCCATTCCATCCTCACAATGATAACAAGATGGAGCCGCATTGGTTCTTGACTTTGCCTCTCGATATGGTCATGACTCATTTACCAGAACAGAAGAAATATCAATACATCTCTCCCTCTATAACGCCTTACGCCTTCTTCAGTCTGCCATATATTCGAAATACATTCTTTTGGCACAGACTGCGTGTACTGAAATACCATGTACACCAATCATCAGAGGATCAAGATGGTATATTTTATCTAAGTATGAAGGTACAGCCGAATATAAGCTGCTACGCAGAGATCGAGGCAGACGATGGCAGTACTGCTAGAGGTTTGGCACAGTGCTTGACAGACGACAGAAACAGCCGCATATGTAAGGTCAAGGCCGTCTTGCCCTCTCACCAAACCGGCGGTTGGTTAAAGGTTTATGCTGGACCGAAAATCATACCATCGAACAATGCAGCAATTCAGCAAGATGTTGTCTGTAAAACTCATTTTTCATTAGCCATGTGTGTCCGAGTCACATCCGAACGACAGTGCTCACCCTTTGACTTTGTTAAACTCTATGCCGATTATAATGAGTTTTACGTTCAAGAACCGCAATGCTACCAACTTTATCCGCTCCAGACCTATCATTTCTGTATTAGAGGGGCTAGATCAGACTACAAGGCAGTTCATCATAAACTGGCCATTAAGAGTCCCAATGGAAAGCTTTACAAACTGATGTATCAACCTCAAGATCAAACGTATGAAGGAACAGTGACTGTATCTGTAGCAGGTAAATGGTTTCTTATATGCTTATTACATCACACTGGTGGCTGGTACACAGTAGCTGAGTGGTCCTGCTCAATACCTTGATATCGTTATATTTTTTCCCTTTGCTCAATAAAAAAGTTGCAACCAAATACGCAAGTTTTTATCTTGCACTTATATAAAGTGTAATCGATATGCACAGGCATATAATGAACGGATATTGCTTAGTAATGAACAATGTATCTATCTATACGCTTCCTCTTTTTATGAGGATATAATGGAGCAGTTCTAGTCAAAAATTCAAAACTGGGCATTAAATATTTATTTAATAATAAAAAGTACAAGTTGCGCTCTTATGAATTTTTTTAGAGCTATATGATTTCAAGATTGTAAATCTTGTTTGTACGTGATTCGTTATTGATCAAGCGTTTTGATTGGCTCAAAATTAAAGTTGACAGTGATCGCAATTGACACTTTTCATCTCTCCTTTCTCTCTCTTTTTTGTTGTTGTTGTGTACAGAATATAATATGGGTACCTCTTTTACTTTCTTTTAAAAAACAATATGATTTAACTATTTACAGATACCTTTGAATACCTTGAGAAGACGCTGTCTGAAAGAATTATGTTCCTTGACGGTGCTATGGGGACAATGGTTCAACGACTAAAACTTGAAGAAGCAGACTTTCGAGGTTAGAAAAAATATATTACACTTAATGCATATGTTCAACGCATACATTTAAAAAATAGGTCAAGAATTCATTGATTGGAAAACAGACTTGAGAGGAAATAACGATCTGTTGACCTTGACCAAGCCAGACGCTATTTACACTATCCATCGTCAATACCTCGAAGCTGGAGCTGATATGATCGAAACCAACACGTTCAGTTCTACTTCAATTGCTCAATTAGATTATAGTCTAGAGAAATACGCTTATAGATTAAACAAGGAAGGTGCAGCCCTTGCAAAAAAAGCATGTGAAGATGTAAAATAGTATACTTGTTGAATTTTGCTGCATGAATTGAACAATTCCATTTCACTATTTAGGTCACCAAGGAAACCGGTATTCGGCGACTTGTCTGTGGTGCTATCGGTCCCACAAATCGTACCTGTTCCATTTCGCCTTCAGTTGAAAATCCCGCTTACAGAAACGTTACGTTTGATGAACTCGTTACTGCCTATGCTGAACAAGTACGAGGACTTTTGGATGGTGGCGCGGATATCTTGTTGGTAGAAACCATTTTTGATACGTTAAATGCCAAGGCAGCTATTTTTGCTATTGATTTAGTGTTTGAAGAAGATCAGTAAGTGAACAGGTTCTCCTTTGAAATGGATAGCTTATTATTTTTTTTTTAAAGACGACCCAAGGTACCTATTTTTATATCAGGAACCATTGTAGATCAGAGTGGTCGAACCTTGTCTGGTCAAACAGGAGAGGCTTTTGTTACGTCATTGAAACATGCAAAGCCTATGGCCTTTGGTTTGAATTGTGCTTTGGGTGCGCCGCAGATGAAGCCATTTGTGCAAAACATTAGCCGATTTACAGACGCTCACATCATCTGTTATCCCAATGCTGTAAGTGCCTTTTGTGTTCTTACACAGACCTATTGCTCATCAAATTGCCTCGATATAGGGTTTACCCAATGCTATGGGTGAATATGATGAAAGTCCTGACGCAATGGCTAAAAACATTGAACCCTTTGCAAAAGAAGGGCTCGTGACAATCGTTGGTGGATGCTGTGGAACAACACCAGATCACATTAAAGCAATTGCTGAAGTCTGTAAAAAATACTCTCCACGTTCAAAGCCAGCATCAAAGGAGGACGTCATGTTGCTCTCTGGCCTTGAAGTGCTTCGTGTAGACGAAACCACAGGTTTTGTCAATGTGGGCGAACGTTGTAACGTTGCTGGTTCTCGCAAATTTTGCCGTCATATCCTCAAGAATGAGTACGAAGAGGCTCTTGCCATTGCACGCGCTCAAGTTGAAAATGGTGCTCAAGTGGTCGATGTGAATTTTGATGAAGGCCTCTTGGACGGTAAGGCAGCCATGACCAAGTTTTTGAATATGCTCGCTTCCGATCCCGACTGCGCTCGTGTGCCTCTCATGGTGGACTCTTCCAACTTTGCTGTTATCGAAGCCGGTCTTCGCTGTGCTCAGGGCAAATGTATCGTAAATTCGATTTCTTTAAAAGAAGGTGAAGAAGAGTTTATCAAGAAAGCAAAGATTATCAAGCGTTTTGGCGCTGCTGTCGTTGTTATGGCCGTAAGTCTTATATCCATATTGTTTTGTATATATACTCATCACGTTACTAGTTTGATGAAGTTGGTCAAGCTGCCGAAGCTGATAGAAAAGTCGAGATTTGTACTCGCTCGTATCGTATCTTGGTAGACAGGGTGGGGTAAGCTGTCAAAATGAATGGAAACAAATATAGTTGCTGATCTTTTATAGATTTAACCCCTATGATATTATCTTTGATCCAAACATTCTTACTATCGCTACAGGAATGGGTAAGTAAAAAAAAAAGGATAAAAGAGCAAAACAACTAAAGCTTGTTTTGTATATAGAGGAGCACAATAACTATGCAGTAGAGTTTATCAAAGCATGTGAGACCATCAAAAAGACTCTTCCTGGAGCAAAAGTAAGCGGTGGTGTTTCCAATCTTTCATTCGCGTTTCGTGGTATGGACAAGGTTCGTGAAGCCATGCACTCAGTATTTCTCTATCACACGATCAAAGTGGGCATGGATATGGGAATTGTTAATGCTGGATTTTTGACAGTATATGATGACATTCCAAAAGATCTTCTTCAACTTTGTGAGGACGCTGTCTGGAATCGCGATCCTGATGTGACTGAAAAGTTATTGGAATATGCAAAGGCGCATTCAAAGGACGCAAAAAAAGATGAGGATCAGGAAGAATGGAGAACATGGCCTGTTACAGAGCGTATCACACATGCTTTGGTTAAGGGAATAATGAAATATATCGTTGAAGACACTGAAGAGGCCCGTAGCGATAAAGAAAAATATCCTCGTGCACTTAATGTCATTGAAGGCCCTCTTATGGCGGGTATGAATGTCGTAGGAGATCTTTTTGGTAAAGGAAAGATGTTCTTGCCTCAAGTTATTCGATCGGCTCGGTAAACAGGACAATGATATCAAACTATGACTCATCTAAACCTCATCCTATGAATAGTGTTATGAAAAAGGCTGTTGCTCACTTGGTCGAATACATTAAGCTTGAAAAGGAAGCTGATTTAGCAGCATCTGGAGAAACAGAGGTTAAAGGAAACGGAACCATCGTGATGGCAACCGTCAAAGGTGATGTCCACGATATTGGTAAAAACATTTGTGGTGTTGTGCTTGGTTGTAATAACTACAAGGTCATTGATATGGGTGTCATGGTTCCATGCGATCAAATTATCAAAAAAGCTGTTGAAGAAAAGGCAGATGTCATTGGCTTATCTGGTTTAATCACGCCCTCTCTTGACGAAATGGTCATTGTTGCCAAGGAGTGCGAAAAGGCTGGCCTCAAGATTCCCATCCTTATTGGCGGTGCAACCACAAGTAAGATGCACACTGCCGTCAAAATTGCACCTCAGTATTCCTCACCAGTCATTTATGTCTTGGATGCTTCTCGAAGTGTACCGGTCGTCGCCAGCCTTTTGGATGATAATCTAAAGGAAGACTTTGCTGATGACATTCGTGAAGAATATACCGAGATGCGTGAAGAGTATTATGAAGGCTTAGAAGAAAGACGATTGCTTAGCTTAGAAACCGCCAGAGAGAAAAAACTACGAATCAATTGGTCTCTTAGTCCCCCACCCAATAAACCCAGTTTCCTGGGTACTAAAGTATACAACAATTATCCACTAGAAAAACTCGTTGATCATATCGACTGGAATCCATTTTTCCAAGTATTCCAGCTTCGTGGACGATACCCTAACAGAGGCTTCCCCAAGATTTTTGATGATGAACATGTTGGTGCTGAAGCTAAAAGACTTTATGACGATGCTCAAGAAATGTTAAAGATGATCATCAGTAAAAAACTTCTCACTGCTACTGGTATTGTTGGTTTCTATCCTGCACACGCCGTTGGTGATGATATCGAAATTTACAAGGACGAGAGCCGTGAAGAGGTAGCTGCTGTATTTTATGGTTTAAGACAGCAGGCTGAAAAGGACGTCGATGAGCCTTATTACTGTCTCTCAGATTTCATTACCCCGAAAGAGACAGGTATACCTGATTACCTTGGTATGTTTGCTGTCAGTGCTGGATTTGGCTGCGAAAAACTTGTCGAACAATACGAAAAGGACGGTGATGACTATAACAGTATTATGGCCAAAGCATTAGCAGATCGTCTAGCTGAAGCGTTTGCTGAAGCAATGCACGAAGAGGTTCGTAAAGTAGAATGGGGATATGCCTCAGAAGAACATCTGTCAGCCTCTGAAATGTTTTCAGTACGCTACCAGGGTATTCGTCCTGCCCCTGGCTATCCTTCTCAACCTGATCATACTGAAAAGAAGACGATGTGGGAACTGGGAGACATTGCTGAGCAGACAGGTATCACTTTGACAGAATCACTTGCTATGGACCCACCTGCTAGTGTTAGTGGCTTAATATTTGGACATGAGCATAGCAAGTATTTTGCTGTTGGCAAGATTGACAAGGATCAGATTGAAGACTATGCTGCTCGTAAAAAGATGGATGTGCCTAGTGTTGAAAAATGGTTAGGCACCATTCTTGCTTATGACTCTTAATATATTGCTAATACTTATTAATACATAAAAGACTTTTTTTTATATGGAACAGTTACGTAAGCGTATAGAGTAATCATTCGTGAGGATCAGTTATTTGACCTCTACTATCATTACCTTAAATATCTCCAAAAACAATTGTGTCGACTTTATGAGAAACAAAACTCTAGCTTTCATCTATTTAGCGCTAATATAACAAGCATCTATAGAAGAGTACTGTTCAACTGAGTTCAGTTTCAAAGAATATGATGTAAGCATAACAGTATCGTCGAAACATAACATCCTGTTCATTTCATCCTCATTTCAATTAAACCTGAGATAAAGGTACATAATTTTATAAACCCAAAAGTCTCTCTCTCCCCTTCCATCCCATTTGCTGTTTATGTATGCAAGGCACTACTTTGAAATAAGGGCAAAAAGCAACATAGTATTTACAATTTAATTAAACGTTTGCTAAAACTACCAATTCTTGGCTTCTTCAATTTCTTCTAATTTCTTTGCGTGCTTGTTCACAGTTTGAACAATATTGCTAATCTTCATCTTATCTGCATCTAATGACAACTTTTGTCCGTCTTTATAAGCAACTTGAATATGAGAGGGTGCGGTTGGATCATTCAAGACATCGGTTACTATTTTGATCGTAGGGTTGACTTTACGTGCTGCATCAGTGTTGATGTGGTTTAAGAACAATCTAATAAATGCAATGAGTTTATAGATCTAAAACTCATATTCAACTGTTTACCTAGAAGATTTTGAAGCGGCATTAAAGGGAGACAAAGCTACCTTGATCTCAGTAATTTGCTTCATAAACATTTTTTTTTGACAAGCAAGGGGAAGAAAGGATACCTCAGTTTTTTTTTTTTTCTTTCTCAGATTGCGGAAACTGATTTATGAATTGTGCAATGTAAAATAAATCTTTACCTTATTAATTGAAACAAAGAGAGCGAGAAGAAAAAGAGGAAGAGGGAGGGAACAGCGATCAGTCAAGTTTAATCATTGATATACTTTACTGTGTTTTTATTAATTATTGACGTTAATTTTATAAAACATTGTCGTAAAATAAAAAAATATTTTCGTAAAAAGACGACAAAGAAAAATATGTTTGAATAAACGACATCATGTCAAAAGGGAGAGAGATAATGAGTATATGTAGAAAAAGAGAGAAGAAGTATGTTAGTATTAGAGTACATATCCTAATATTAGTTGCACTTACCATCAAGGTGCATTCTGGGGAGGGTAGCGATAACTACCCAGGAAAGTTAAAACAAAAAAAAAGGAACGGAGGACACAGAGAACCCAGGGCGTCAGAAGAGACTATTGGGGAGCGTTCCAGATACATGCCAGAGAGCAAAGAGGGCGGGACAAGCGAGTCAGAGCAAGAACCATGAGGACAGGCTAGTTTTGACTGGTGAATCTTTGAACACTCAGAGGAACACTTGATAACTGCTGTAAAGAACCAAAAAAAGGACTCAATTAAAATAGGTTTTATATGTTTTTATTTTTCAAACAAGCTTCAGGTTCAGACACTTGGAACAAAGAAATCATATCAAATAGAAGAAATCTACATGATGATTATTCAAGAGTATGCATTGCTAAATATGACTACATGTTCTTTTGATTTCATAGAAAAACCCGAATAAATAATTTAAACTTTTATAAAGAAACTAAAGAGGGATATTTCTAATATTAAGTTAATTTCAACTCCAAGACAGCCCACCTGTTAATATTACTGTCAGATAGGATAGTGAGCCATATTCTTTTTGTATTTATTATTACTCTGATAACACTACAACCGTTTCAATACGACGTCTCAATTTGGAAAGCACGACATTCAGTCTCAGTAGCAGCGTCATTATTTTTTGGAAATACGGCTAAACAGTTTTATTTACAATTAAAGCCTCAAGTGGGCGCACGATAATAATAATATATCTTCTTCGCTCAAGGCAGGTCAAAAGAGAATAAAGAATTGGTAACTAAAAAACCCTTATGGGATCAAGGATAAAAAAGTTATGGAAGAAATGATGTTGGACCAAGTGTAAGATACACTAGTGAGGAGAAGGAAGAAGCCAATCGAGGAGCTTTTGCCCAAGGTGAGAGGAAGGAGAAGGCGGATGCTTTTGGTGATGGAGGTAGTCAAGTTCAAGAAGAAGAGTGCATATAGCTGGCCAACAGATGGTTCATGAGAAAGCGGCTTGAAAGGAGCGTGGTTTCTTCATAGGTAGCATGTTCAAAAGGAAGGATAGTGGATCAGAAACTGTTTCGGGTATCACAAGTTAGCGGTGCATCTGGAGACGATGAATGGTGTGGGCTTTGGTGAATGATTGGTTGGAGTGCTGAGGACAGGTTTTGTCGTGGCCGCTGGGAAACCAACCAAGGCGCCAGCGTATACAGCGACTTCTCTCAGACCTGGTCATTGGTAGCCAAAGGATGGGGTCTAGGGAGATAGTCGGGCGACAGTGTATAAGAAGAACAGAGGAACGCGTAGAGCGCTTGTGATTGAGGTCATCTTGGCGGAACTTCCTTTGCGTCAATCGTAAAGAGCGGCGATCAAGGGATTCTGGGTTCATGTTCGCACAGCTCAAAGATGGGCTCAAATGTACAAAACAGATCCTGATAGTATTTTATATAGCACAAGAAAACTGGTCGCTCGCGTATACATCACGAAGAACACAAGCAAGTGATCTTGGAGTATATAGACGAGAATCCTTCAGCCGTCTTGGAGCAACCAACAGGAAATGTAACTAACACAAAACATGTCTTTTTTATACAAGCAGCTAGACATGTATTGGTATTTGCTACTGTTAGCACTCCAACATCATTTTTATTATTATCATTATTTATAAAGGGGTATCTTGTTGTTCTCTTTCTATTTCTGCAATCAAATCACCTATTCCACGCCTTACTTTTTCATGCTCTCTTTCTTCTGCCAATAAATCTTCGACTCCATAATTTTCATTATCGCTATCATTTTCATAACGTTCTTTTAACACGCCATCTTTGCTTATATAAATCTTGCTCGAAACTGATGCTGCAACATTCTCTAACCAGGGAGGGAGTGGAGATTGAATTGTACCTGCCAAAACCATCTGTCGAAGCCCTTCAATCACACTAAATCCTTTTAGGTTGATATCAATATTTATCGTATTCTCTTCTTCATCTTCTGTATCTTCAGTCTCTATAATTTCAAAACTATCACTCACTTGAAGGGGAAGTGCCAGCTAGAGAGGATATTATTATTTATGAATTGCACTTTTTGTCAGTCTTACGTTGATATCAAGTGATCGATAACTAACGATTGCATCAGAACCAAAATGGTTGTTTATTGCTTCATATCGAGCCTTCATTTCTTCAATATCAACAGGAACAATACGTCTTCTTTGTTCACCAGGCCTTGTATAAGTGTCTTCAAATCCTCTAGGTCTCTTTTGTCTAATGTCTAAAGGGTTTGCATCCGTTTGATTATTTCTCAATTGACTAAACACACCAAGTGATTTTCTGTTCATGATCTGCTTTGCTATTTCCTCAATTTCTGCTGCTGCCACTGTCTTAATGATGAGTTTGTCTGCTGAAAAGACGTTCAAGATAGCCTCCATGACATATGTATTTAGTTCTTTTGTCCACCCTGGATGTACAAGTAAATATCCTGTTTCAGGATAATACACAATAAATCCATGTTGTCGTTTGGTCGATACTGGCTCATTATCCATGGATTGATAGAACCTTAAATAAAACCAATACGTATCTTGGTTCTTATCCTTGCATGCATAAATATACTACGATTTGCTTTCAGTAAACAACAAAGGAGATATTTTCATCACTTACACAGTCTTGTAAGCTTGACAAAAAGTTGTCTAATTGTTGCTGTATTGTAGTCATATCCATTTGTGTGTTTATTTTACCAGATTCTACAATGAAGTTGTAAGCATGATTTCAAAAAAACACGTACACACACACCTTTAGCAATTTCAACAAATTTCCATTTTCTTCCTGAAGATCTAGACATCATGGCTATAGATCCAGTTAAAAAGAATAGATCAAGTAATCAATGTTGAGGCTTACTATGTATTTCTAGTTGTGCGATCTGAACAGCATAAAGGCCCTCTGTCTATCTTACACGGTTTGTTTTAGATAAAGATAATGGACGTATTGCCGTGTAAATTACCCAATCTACTGCTTTAATTCTTTGTAGTATGTCCACTTTGTTTTTGTATTTAGTGCCTGACGTATAATGTTCTAATTTGCTTGTCCTATTTCTTGGATATAATTCAGGAACGTCAAACCATAAAGAAATGGTCTTTCGTAATGCTGGCATTGGTGTATAAGATAACAGACGATTTATGGATGCATCATATTTGAATAATTGTAGATCCTTTTGTGTAAGCATATAAATTTTCTATTATACTACAATAAACAGTTTTAGAGAGAGAAAAAAATGGCCAAAAAAATATACAGGACACAATATTAGCCAATCAGATTTATCGGATATGATAGTCCATAGTCCTGGTTTAAAAAGGCGAACACTACGCGCAGGAGGAAATCCACGAGAAGGCTAATGATATGGGTGCTTATTCTCCTATACATGTGGCGGTACTGTACAAATTCACACTACCAAAGCGTCTGTCTAGCCTAAGGCTGTCCAGTGGGATATTTCTTGATAGAAAATACGAATTTATCATAACTGCGCGTGATTGACCTTGGTTCTTTGTTGGTAGAACTGACAATATAAAATTAGAATAAAGAAATAACAACATCTCTTTTTATCTCTTTCTTTTTGAAACTTTATAAAAGTCATACTCTACATCAAGAAGTATGAAATATGTCTGTTCTCTGCACAAGTCTAGCTTGGTGCCATACATTGAAAAGGTTTGTTGACGACATCACAGGTAGCGTTTGTAACATAGTCCTCTCGTGGGTTTTCTCGTGCGCATAGTGTACACCACAAAAAAATACAATGAAATTCTTTAAATGTCTGAGCTCTCATTTTGACATGAAAATTTTATAAAACAGCCACTTCTTTGAAGTTTGTGCAGGAATGTGTGAAAATGTGTAAAGGTGTATATAAAAATGTAGATTCGGATTCAAAATTTTCTATAGTGATATTAAACCCTATTGAGCAGTTTAGGGCAGACTTTCGGTCCGGAAACCGTTCCTTGCGGCCTTTTTAATATTACATAGAGAAGTGCTACATATTCGATCGTGAATAGAAAAGTTGAAGTCTAATTCTGCATTTAGGACAGTTCTTATTGCATCATTTTCATCGAAGCTCCTAAACAAAATATGAAAATTATCCTTAGCATGGATTGACGTTTGAGTGCAGATCTCCTGGTAGGTCCCGTTTCCAAGTCCTTGATCTCACGCTCAAGCGTGTTTTCGAATCTACAATCAATCAGCAGTAGTAAAAATAAGCAGCTCTTACAAGACATAACTAGCATGACAGCACATTTGGCGGGGAATATAAGGAGCAGTGGGTGTCGCATTCTTTCCGATATCATAAGAGAGAGGGGACCGTTGTTTACTGGTGTTCATGGAATATCTCACGAAGTGGATTATTACTGCTGCACTTTAGCAATCTGAATCAAACTCAATCATAAATGACCTTATCTATTCCATCGTTCTGGTTCATAGTTCCCCCGCAAGTTCATTACAGATAATGGGTCAAACTTTGTCTCTGAGGTTATAAAGCTGATGTGTGTTCGGCTGAACACCAAGAAAGTGGAAGCGAGTGTAGGGCATCTTTAATCAGACAGACTCGTAAAAAGAATGAACAAATCAATCATAAGCCCCTTAGCTATGTATGTAGAGAAGAAACTAGAAAATTGGGGTTATTTATTATATGAAACTTTGTCAAGACGAGAACCAGAGGATGAAAGGGTCTTGATTAATGTCTTGAAGAAGTGGTTGGATGTGTAGTGTGTGGTTAAGGTATTCAGGGCCCTATAATGACTATCCACCCATTGCTTACATCTGACAGCCATCGCTGGTAACTTTGGGAAGGGCTTATGTGAAAGCTTGTTCAGGTAAAAGGAAGCCGAATCATCAATAGAAAAGGCAGAGACCCAAGCGGTCGTGTGTGTAAGATGATGGTCGCCCATATGTGAATAGCTGGGTTTACCACTGTGATGCCAGCCAGAGCATCAACTCCTAATACGGCTAAACATAGGTATTCATAGGATGGTACAGTCAAATTGAAAAAAATAGCTTTGACCCAAGGCCGCAGCTGATTCCGAGCTTATTTTGTTGATCAGATCAGAAAAAAAAAAGCAAGTGAGATTGAGCTTTTGATTAAAGCACCTTTTCCCTTTAATGAAATGAGCCAGAATTAAACTTAATCATGAATAAAGCAAATACCAAACGCATGCACTGTTGTGTTTATAAGTAAAAGTATCCTTGGCAATATTAACCATAGGGGTCGACAAAGTAAAGGCTACACCTAATCGACTAAATAACAGCATTCGTTACTTCAGTGATAAACTGCTATGCCGTCACATTGTTCCTCTCTAAGGCTTATTGAGTTATCCTTCTACTAGTTTATCTGCATATAAAGCTTATTTTTTATCCATTTCATGCGTTTATGTCTTCATATTCTTTTTCATGTTATAAAAGCACCTTTCTCATCGCCCAATAAATCACATATTTGATTATACCCCTTATTCATAATACACGAGTATCTATGACAATAAGGAGGCTACCTGAAGTATCTCGAGTACCTTAGGAACCCATCCTGTTTCGAGCGCCATTTGAAATAGTTTATGCAGACTTAAAAGGCCCATTGCTTTACTATAAAAATGAACGTATAGTCGTTAAATTTATCACAATAACAATCGTCGCTAATGTTGGTCTATATTTCATAAGCAGAAGAGAAAATATAGGGATATAACAACAGGAAGCAGAGGATAAACATTTTACCTTTTACCTTTTACCTCTTTTCATGTGCGCTAAAAATAAAAATAAAAATAAAACGAAAAAATTACACACTCTTATGTGCTCCTAAGCCAAAAACTTAATCGCTTATACTTCGTGCTTGATAAACAAGTCTTGATACGTGAAGGTTAAGCTTATTTGATTTTGGTTCTTTTTAACAAAAAGTCATAGTGCTAACCAAATGAATGATAATGTCTGGATTCTTTTGATTTGTAAATAACGATTGTAATGGAATTGATTGCGTGTGCTCCATAGAATCGGTAGCCTAGTGCTCTTTGAGAAAAGCCTTAATTTTTTGTTTACTATCAGCTGCATTTTTAAAGGATGCCGTCCCCTCTCAACCTTTTTCCTTGTACATTTAATTCCACTTATTCTTAAATAAAACGACCAGAAAAATAGAAAAATGCGTACTGGAAATGAGAAAAGTGAAACAACCATAATGGAAAAAATTATATGTGTATGTAAGGTCAACTTTATGTAAACAAGAGGCCTTACAGAAGAAAAGGGCCCATGAAAAAAATATGCAAAAAAAAAGAGGAGACGTTCGGATGCTCGAATATGTTCTAATATGGAAGAGACAGAGAGCGATTTATTTATTTATTCATACATTATTGGAGAAAGGAGAAGCGAGTCATTTATTTTCAGCCTAAATAACATGATTCACGTAAACAAAAGCTATAAAAGAGACCATCATCTTTTCCTTTTTTCCTTTTTTTTCATTCTTTATCTCTTTTAAAATTTATCCTATG